ATCGTATTAAATTCATTTAAAAAGCCCGATGTCTCTTTCCTCTAGTCTCTAATTCTTGGAAGCATGTGGCTCTTGTAATTAGCTAGAAATCACATGAAATAAATAAATTATGAAAAAAAAAAAATTGATAACGACATTGCTATTGCAAGCAGTTATACTCAATACAATTAACGTAAAGCATATGTCACTCCTGGTCGCTTTAAAGCTTATTTTTATTAGTACATTTCGCCATAGTAACAATGTAGAGTCTTACTGGAAGTTGCTATTTAAAAGAATATATTTTACTTTTTAAATAATAAATATTTTCAGTTCGTGCACACGTTAAAGTAATAATACTTAAATATTAACGTCTTTTTCATACAGAACAATGCGCCATAAAGGTTTTCGTGCTAAAACATAGCATATATCGTCGACCCCTGCAGACACATTAGTGCTCTGGGCCCGAAACGCTCGGCGGGGCGGCGGGTGACGTCACAAATCAATACCCCGCCCTCCTACCGTCGTCCCGCGGGTCCAATAAAATGTATAGGGTGATGTAAGGTACTATGGGGCTGTTGTAACGCGAGCTATTTGTTGTATTTCAAGGGTGAATCGTCAAAGGGGGTCACAAATGCTTTCGGCAGTTGTGGACGCCCCGCTCATTTCGTTCAACTGTTTTTCCACCTCATTCCAACTTACACCCATTCTATACATCCGGTTGAAATTTTCTATTGATTTATTTATGTTTATGTTGTGATCTGCACATAATCCGTATCGTAGTCAATTGTAGTAAAAGATATTTTTAATGTCCGCTTTGTGACAAAAATAATATTTGCACTTTCCCAGCCGCTATTTCTCTAACATTGTCTCTCTTACACCCATAAATATACAACACAATTTGCACCCGCGTAATTAACCTTAATGGAAGAACGTGGGTGTGGATTTAATAGCGTAAAAGGTTTTGGTATATTAGTGATCATTGGTGTTTGATACTATGTTAAGTGCTTCCATATCAACCCTGGGGCATGGTAAATCATTTTACGGAGCCCATCAAAGTAGCTTTCGGATCAGATTTTCTTTTCTGTTGATTTACGTAGTAAATAGTACAGATAGTTATTTCGAAGACTATTCGTACTTAAATAATAGTTTTTCAATCGATTTAACATAAAATATTTCTTGTCGTCAAAAAGGAAAATTTCATATGACCTCGTTTATTCGTGAATGTAATACACGACATAAACAAGTGAGTAACGTGCATACCAATCCATCGTTTCTCCTTCCTACCATGAGGTCAGTGGCGGCAGTAGAGGTCGCTTCCGTTCCATCCGAGGTAATGCCACCGAATTATCACAAATCTTGCAAAGGTTATTGAACAGTAAACAGATATAGAGGTTAAAACAATTATAGCGGCTTTACATCGACCAAATAATAAGGATTTGGTAGTTTGGTGAACTGTGTAGTTGTATTTATTTTCTAGGAACTGCGATAAGTTGTGGCTACCAACTTACTTTATACATCTTTTAATAGGGCGTCACTCTCAACATATCGATTGCATTAAACGCCAGAATACTTCAGTAAGCAACTTTTATGATCTGCAGTGGTAAGAGAACAATGCAGAGACGTGTGTGTTTGTGTGCGGGTCCGCTTGCTACACGCGGCCGCGTAAACAAACACGCGCACGTGCCGCAACATGGCGCGCGTGCGCGACTCCCGCGGTCGATAGTCCACGGCGTCGCGTCCCCTCACCACCATGGCCAACTCCCTAATGCTGTGGATACGTGCAGTACTTTAGTAACATTTTCTCCAGTTTGGATTACTTTGGCCAATGTTCCCTATTACTGCAGCGTAACTTTTGTTTTAATTAGTGTCGTATTCAAACATTTCTAAATCAGGGACTGGATCTTACGAGATGTTTGTGAACGACTGAGCAACAATTTTGAAGCAGTTAACAAAGTATAAAAAAACTTCATCTACTGTCTCTCTCAGCTAATATTAATCCAGTCCAGCCGCCTCCCAGACTCCCCCAATGAACTTCGATCGATTATTACTTTGAAACTCTCACATAAAAGTTAGAAAAGCAAATTGATTTATAAACTCTGTAAAATCAAACAATACTACAGTAGGTAATACATTTGTGAAAAACAAAGAACAGAGGAGCGAAATCTACGCCCGCCCCCTGCACGGCGGCTGTGCAAAATCAATACCTCGGGAATGTATAGGGGACGCTATGCCGCATTCTGCCTCGCCTTGATACTGTACAGATTTCTGAAGCTGTAAGTTATATACGTACAAGTGGTAAATAAACAAATAACTAGACATGCAAGTTTTTTTTAAACAAATCCTGATGAGTAGCGTGTTGTTAGGCGAGAAGAAAGAGGCGGGGGTGAGATGCGCGATCACACAACCTCTCCCTCCCCTCTCAACTCGCGTGCATGTCCTTTACAAATTAGCAACAAACATTTCTGTCATCCACCCGCGTAAATATACTACATATTTGTGTATGGTTTATCTACTTGTTCTACTTCAAAAGCGTCCTTGCTATTGATGTTTTTAAATTATTTTACCTTTGTATTACATTAAACATGTTATATTACGTTTTTATAATAATTTATATTGTGGACACATTATTGGACGTACATATGCAAACAGAAGAAGATTCTTATGTGTCAAGATCTTCAACTTCCTAGCGTTTTCCCTATGGAGGGTTGACATAGTATGTATTACTTTTCCATACATCTCTATCAGCTTCTATCTCTTTTCAAACAAGTAAATCAATACATTTTTCCTATTATTTTGTCACCAACGTCATTGAATTTTGGTTTGTTCACATTATTATATCTTCTAAAGTTATAATAAATCTGTTATTTATAGAGTAAGACTTTTGTTAAAGTAACAGATGCTGTGTTCAAATAACACAGGATGTAGGTATGTTCCAACTTTCACATTGATTGTGATCTGGCGGGGCTTGCCGCCTCGCGATCGATTCCCGCCACATCCCCCACCCTCCAGCTGCTTACTCGATGATCTCAGGTGTACATTACCGTTAAAAACCTTTTCGATTCACACACAAATAGGTACAGAATGCTACTTATGATGCTACCAGGTCAACAATTTATATTACCCTATAAATATCGCAAGCAATTTAGCAGATAGAATTAAATCTAATAAACCGATTTAATATAAGGTCCCTTGAATTTAATGTATTTTTTACACAATAAAAGTTAGAAATAATGAATTTGAAATTGAATATTGGTTTAGATTTTGATGTTAATCTGTCGTATGTCGCAGTCTCAATCTAATTACCCATTGTCCACTTTGAGGACTTCAAAGTGTACCCAATTACTTGATTGTACCCGACGGTGACGGGCTGATTGCTGACATCGTTCATGAATTCCTTTGTTTCATTTCAGTTTAGATTAGAATTAAGTGACAATTAAATCTTACAATTAGTTTGATTGACTTCAAATATATTTTTAGCGATAACTGCTTATTGATCATGTGGCAATCAATTATGGTAATAGATAAGCCTATTTCTTAATTGTCAATTCAAAGATTCACTTCTGATGTTTACAGGTTGGTTGGTAACCAAAAATATTATAGGTATTCAGACAGGACAAAATAATAAGTTAATAATTAGCAATATTATAGCAACGACTTGGTAGTATTATCGTTCGTACTATTTCAAGACAGGTTTTGCCAGCTATAAAATGTTTCAGATAAAGAGGTTATTTTTCTTATCTGAAATATGCCGGTAGCATCTTCATTGTGAGGGAATGTGTATGAATGCAAGCGGATAAGAAATGTTGATAACTGTATTGTGAAATACTCGATGTGCAGACGGGCAAAGCAACTTCGGCTAAATTTATATTGAGAAACGCGATTGATTCGTCATTCACCACGTTTACCTGCGCACGTAACTGTTCTTCCCGATCCTCGGGCTCGGGCGCATACAAAAACTGATGGGTTTTTATTATTGAAAATCAAAGCACAACACAACACAAACTGAACTGACATGCATAGCGGGCGGCAAGCGGCGTTGCCGCACCGCGCGGCTGACTCGTCACGTGACGTCATGTCTCAAGATGGCCGTCGTACGGGTTGCCGCCTCCCCGCACCGCACCCCTCTCCCTCCGACAGCCGGATCCGACCGCGTTGCTGTAATAATAATTCAGAATGCAGCCCGAAAGGAAACCGCGCGAGAATAGATTGAAATTTAATGCATCGAGCGCGTCGGTTATACGCGTTAGCGCTAATTGTTATTCTACGAAGGCAGCTGTTTACTTTCGTTGAATAATGTCGGCTCTGTTAGCGGAATCGAGGCGTTGTTGGGATGTGCTGAGACTTCATGATTCACTCCGACAGGCACTCGGCGCACAGTTACGTCGTAATTATTGATCGTGAAATCATCGAGTTGATAGGTAGCGCAGCTCGTAATGCAGCCGCGGTCACCCTAAGCGCCCGACACGACGCTAGACAGAATCAACAAACTAGAATTAGCGCCCTCGAACCCATTATAAAGTACTGTTATCGATTGCTGAATCATTTTTTGTTTACGAACTTATTTTACCTCGACGGCTAGTTTTTCGCACGCTTGCACATTATTTTACTAATCCAATCAATATTTTTTATTGTTATATTTCAAATTTAAATACAGATAAAAATAATTAACAGTTATCCTTCATATACTTTAAAAATAAACAATTCTGTTTAATGACCGTTTACCGGATAGGTACCCATCTAACTAGCTAAACTGCCTAGTAAGCTTTCATAGCCGTATAGGTCAGAATTTTATTGGCATTGGAACTCTGAGATTAGAAGTCTTGATCGTGGTTCTGGAGCAATTAATGATGAGTAGTTAGGTGTTGTGAGTGCACAGGCCTGATGGCCGGTCGGCGGCACGTATCGCGGGGCAGCGCGGGGCGCGCGGCGGCGGGCGCGGCTAACGGCGCGTCCTGCGCGCGCTGACGTCACCGCTCGATAGCGGCCCGCCCCGCCCGGAGCCCGCCGCCCGCAATCAGTCCCCGTTTGGCCGCCGCGCGATCTACACGTAGCGCAACGTCTCCCCTCACGGATACGAATGTGAAACTGGTGTTTGCGTGTACCATGGTGACAGTGTCTCTCGTGGCAAGTACGAGTAATCAGTGACAATTTACAGAAGTAACGAAGATAACCGATCTCTCCCGTTCCGCTCGACGGCCGGCGAGATGTCGGTGATGCAGAAAAGACAGCATTGCTACCTGTGCGACCTGCCGCGCATGCCGTGGGCCATGCTGCACGAATTCTCGGAGGCAGTGTGTCGCGGCTGCGTCAATTACGAGGGCGCGGATCGTATCGAAGTCGTCCTCGACACTGCGCGCCAGTTGAAGCGAGCGCACGGCTTCCAGGAGGGCAGAGGCCCGACACACACGAAGGGTGCGCACCGAGCGCCGCTCGAAGCGCATCAGAACGGCGGAGAGACGACCGGCCGCGGCCAGCCGGCTCAACCCGCCCACCATGCACCCACAGCCGGATTCCCGCTCCATCACACACGTCCCACGCCCAGCGCGGGACTCTTAGCTGAGTACGGCAGTCGACGAGAGGAACACGAGGGCAGACGACTGACCCATTTGACCGCACACCATCTTCCACATGGAGGAGCGCGGCTCGCCCCCGGGCTGACGCTGAAGCGGCCGCTGGAGGAGGATGAGCATCAGGCGCACCACGAACCGGCTAAGCGACTCCTGGAGGAACACTCGCGGCCACCGCTAACGCGCGGCGAGTCGCTGCCGGCCGTGTCTCTGGCAGCGCCCTTCGCTCCCGACCGCGTCTTCAAGCAGGAGAAGCACCCTCTGCGCACACCTTCTTTCGACGCCACCTCCTTCAAAACCAACGGTAAGGAAATTCCTTTTCCCTTATTACGAACTAAAATATAAAAAAAACCATTGAAAAAAGTCGATTTTAACGCATGCTGTTCGATTCATTGTTTATCCCCGTGTGTCGTTGATTCTTTTAAATAAATAAAATGTTTAAACAACTAGGTTTGCATTTCGTATAAAATTACGACGAATACCACTCTAACGAATTTAATGTTAATAACTCCGCAATACCTATAACGCGTCTATGTTCTTATAAAATGAAAAAAAAATAGCAGTAAGCGCTAAAGAGCTTTTTTTGAATCAGAGCACCGTTTATATTTCCTAAAACGAAATATGTATGATAGCTTCGGATTAACCCAAATGCGCAAAATTTTCGCGGCAAACATTTTATAAAACCCTATATAAAACTGCACTTATGTTTTAGCTGACCGGAGGTTATTAAAACGTCTGTATTTTTTTTTACTTGGAACCAAAATATCGAATGGTTTCTCTTTTTACTTTAGTATAGAAAACAAAAATTTAATATTTTTTTGTATGTCCGTTATTCTCTTGAAAAGGGTTTGCGTATTTGTGATAAGATTGCTACGTATTTTGAATTACCTGTTAAATTTTAGAGGAATAACTATTATATTGCTCAATCCAGGCCTTATTTCAATGACTGTTTGCTCCGAATCAGACTTTCCTTTGTCATAATGTGGCATTTAGTAATATTAGCATAAACATCACGAATTACACTTGACTACAGCGATGGTGTTTCGCCTATGTCATTATCTAAATATCGTTTTCGCTTACTATCTTACTAATATTATAAATGCAAATATTTGGATGGATGGATGTTTGTTTCAAGGTATCTCTAGAACGGCTTCATGGATCTTGCTGAAATTGGGCATAGATGTAGAACGTAGTCTAAAAGAACACAGGCTACTAATTAAGTTTTTTTCTTCATGCTACGCGGACGGAGTCGCGTGCGACGGCTAGTATGTTGATAAGTACAAGCGATCCATATATAGGAATTGTAAACACAATTGAATTTGCCAGAAGTCGTACAATATTGACAATTTATCTACCTATTATTCATACGGTAATTGTACACAGTGTGACATGATGCAACGCAGCAGAAATGCCGTTGTTTACCAATAAGAATGTGGGTTAACATTGTAAAAATAGCGATTGGGAGTGACGCGTGCTTGCGATAAACCGCGATAGGCGACCGCGTACGTGTCCAACGGACGGCACGTCGGGTGATTTGCGCAAGCGGCCGAGTCCGAGGCTCGATATCTAGGTAGGTGCATTTACACTCCGTCCATAAATACGAAACCGGTTCGACCGGTTGAGCGTTCTCGAAAGCGAGCCCGCGCTGCCGCTGGCGGCCTCTCGCACACCGGCACACCGGCACGCCGCTACGCACTAATACACCGACACCCACATCGACGCTCCTCGCGGTGTGGTGCGGCGCGGCGCGGCGCGGCGTGGCAACAGCGCGTGACGACATTCGCGCGCGACGTATGTAGGTAGGACCGGGCGAAAAAATACACCGGCTGCCTACGCTCCGCGGACTCGCGCGACCACATTCCGCTGGCGTGCGGGGAGTTGCGGCCAAAAAGGTCACCGCGTGACGTCACCGCTGCCATATGGGCCGCCGTCGGACGCCAGACACTCGCTCCCGCCCTTTTTGTACTGAAATATTATTTTTGTTTTTCGCCGAAGAGTAGACTGAATAGTTCATATTCGAAATATTGATACTTATAGTACGTGAACACAATTCTTTTTGTTATCTGAACGAAAATAAGGTATTCTTGTTGATATGCATCAAATTCAAGTTTAAAAAATTAAACACTAATCTGAAATGTCAACTTTAACAAATTATAGTATGCTGTGAAATCTGGTTATAGTGACAGTGTAATCCGAATGAATCGAAAATATGTAACCGTATTAAAAGAAATAAAATTGTTCATAAGTTACGTGTATTGTCAGTTATGTGGCGTTTACGATTTTTGTCGCCACAACTGATGTTATTTTAGGCTGTTTCTACTATATCGCCTTATTACGTTATTGCCGAGTTTAATTGTAGCCGGTATTTAATATGAAGGAAGGCGGTCGTGGTCGTATCCCGAATGTTGACGAGTGCGTCGCGGGTCGCGATCAGAACGGCAACGCCGCGCCGCACCGCGTCTGGTGGCGCTGCGGTGACACACGCTCGCTCGCAACGTAAGCGCACAACGAACGCTGTTTGTACGACAGTGTGCGTGCGGTATGCGTGTACGTGTTTACTATCGCCCGCTGCACCGACACCCACACCCCGCATCCCGCATCCCCGCACCTCGCCCGCCGCACGCGATGTGTCATTGTGACTCCGAGCCCGTTCCGATACACGCAGCGGAACCGGCGACGCGACGCTACAAATATATTCGAAAGATCATATACGCTTCATAAATCATTGACAGAACTGAAATGAAACTGAGTTGAGTCATCAAATTATGTATGTGTCGATATATTATTGTTTGTAATACAGTTTTCCCCTGGAAACTGAGCTAAATGTGTTCAAGTACCATTTATTTATTGTTTAAATTGCCGTTTTACCTAACATTATCCATCGTTATTGTATACAGATTCAGAGTTAGTTAAACAAACGATCTTTCGTTTACATTTTTTACTCGTATAGAAATGTTCTGTCATTAAAAATATTTGATGTATGCGTTGTAAATCCTTCAATGACATTGCACATGACCTTTGCGTGCATTTATTTTGAACATCTTCAATTAAAATTCAGTATAAAAACATATATAAAGAAGGGAAAGGGAAAGACGGTTGCCGCCTAATTCACTACACATGGTCGGCGGTCACGGCCTCAAGTTCGGTTAGGTTCGATCGTACCAAGAGCTTTCTCCAAAAACATTTGAATAATTCTGTATGCATAAAATATAGCAACTCGATGGAGTACAATGATTTATTTGGCATACGTAGTGAGCATGTAAGGTGTTTCAGGCTACACGAACAGCGTGGGCGGCGTGGGAGGCGTGGGTGGTGCCAGCGGCGCGGCGCTCAGCAACGGCGCCGGTGGCTCCCCCCTGGGGCGCGCCGCCGCCTCTCCGCCAGCCGGCGGGCCCTCGCCCATGGCCGCACTGATGTCCGTGGCTGACACGCTGCCTCCGGGCAGTCCACGCTCTGCCGGTGGCTCTCCCCCGCAGCCGCCGCCCCAGCGCTCTAACAGCCGCTCCAGCCAGCACTCGCCCAATTCCTCAGGTGAGCACCTCTTCTCGTTGGTCAGCGGCACCAGAGATGGGCGATTTCGATCACGGCCTACACCAATACCACAGTAATTTCATGTTTCCGAGACCATTTCGGATATTTAATTCGTCATTTTCGAATGAATGTGTCAGCTCTTTTAAACGGTCGTCTTGTTAAAAACTATAATATGTATGTAAACAAGCCTACTTAAAAAAGGAATTTTGCTAGTTTGTTGTTTTTTTCAAAACCGTGTGCACATAAAAATTCGAAAGAGTGAATTTTTTGAGAGAAACGGATGGGGTTGTGGGGCGCGCAGCGGGTTGTGCCTAGTTTCGTACCGATCGGAACGTGCCACGTCCGGCCGCCGACGACCGCTGCGCCACCGCGCTGCTCGCTAGCATTGCCACCTTTACGCTCCTCTAAATTAGTACTCGAATATAATTGAAATTCATTGGCAAATATGAGTTGTTTAAAGAAGTGGTCATCAAGTAAAGGTGGCAAGGGCTCGTAGAAGGGAGCAGAGCAGAGCGCTTGCGCTGCCCGCTGGATGCTAACGGCTGGTTTGGTGCAGGCTCAAACGGCGGGCGGCGGTCGTCGGGGTCGCGGCACGTGTCCTCGACGACGTCGGTGTCGTCCAGCGAGACGCCGGACGCGGACCCACCGGCGCCGCTGCTCAAGTGCACGCTCTGCCAGGAGCGGCTCGAGGACACGCATTTTGTGCAGTGCCCCAGCCAGCCGCATCACAAGTTCTGCTTCCCCTGCTCGCGGGACTCCATCAAGCGCCAGCAGGGCTCCGAGGTTAGTACACCGCTCTCTGCTCAATATTCTATCTATACTTTAATGGAGAATACCTATAGTCCGTGTTTTTAACTATATGAATATATTTTACTTAAAATTTTCATAATATACATAAATAGTCTCATGAGGTTTTGAATTATTTTTAATGTTTTTACATCGACATATATAGTATCCATTAAATTTTCCTTACGAGCGAATTTCGCACAATTCTGTTATATAAAGTATAATGGTCACGACACAGCAATAACGTTTACTTTGTAGTCGACTATCACGACGCGACAATATTCAACGCCCTCTGTGCGAAGCTCGCTCCACATGTATTCGTCATCTTGATTTAATATTGTTGTCGTATAAGAATAGATAAAGAGAATATGTATGTGTGTTGCAGGTGTACTGCCCGAGCGGAGAGAAGTGCCCGCTTGCGAACTCTACGGTGCCGTGGGCGTTCATGCAGGGTGAGATCGCCACGATACTGGGAGAGGAGTTCAAACCCAAGAAGGAGCGGGAGACCTAGGGAAGCGCCGCGGCCTTCCGTCTCTACCTCTTGTCCCTCGCGCTGTGAGCAGCGGGAGGAGAACGGCCCCCGGGCCTGGCCGCGCCGGCGCGCAGCCCGCCTCCTCGGCCCCGGACCCTGGGTCCCTGCGGCCTCGCGGGCCCCGGCCGGCCGCACGACCGATGTGTATATAACTTTGTAAATAGTCGAGTTAGTTCTGACGGCTCCGAGTCGAGCGTCACTCAGCGTTCATCGATATGTTGATTTTGTTAGTTTTCTGCGCAATACTGGGCGCTAAGCGAGGCGCTACGAGCGGTCCTCGCAATATTCTCAATATAGTACATATCCGTTTTGGAACATTTTACATAGATCTTTTACATGGGAGCTTCGCATGCGGAGCTTCTTCCGATGCCATCTCTCAGTTACCTTTAGCTCCCGTACCATAATGAACTTGGCATTTATTCATGTGATTGTTATTTCTCGGCCGAGTTTGTGGCGAGGCAGGAGAGGGTACGCATAGCTCCATGTACAGACTTAGATTCTTGTATATTTGTATTTATTGAGTCGCATCGTGTAAAGATGTTTTATACTAGGAGTGTGAACACTTGAGACGTGCCCGCGTCCGAGTGGACAAAGTCCGGCGCTCGCATTAGTTTTGCGTTTATTTGGCGATGTCGGCGAGCGCTTTTGTCTGAGGCGAGCCTAGTCATTTTGTGAATTGTCAAATTGTCAGATCCGCGAGCAAAGCAACGCAACGCAACGCAACGCGCCCCCTTATAGGAACTCTTAAAACTCGCTGCTATATTTGTATAAAGTGGTATAATTAACCTTATATTATTGTCATGTCATTATATTAAACAGTTTGTAGTGTGACTCAATTTCGAAGGCTATCAGAGACGTTCTTAATTATGCAACGAGTGAAACATATGCAAATCTATTGAAAATAATGTCTTATATGGATGGGAAAGTATTTCATAGTGTTGGATAGCGTTCATCTATTATATTTTTATCATTTTTTATTAAAACAAGGGATTTCTTATATTCAATAAGTGACAATTTGACTTAATAAATAAAGAACTACACAAACATATTAATATCTAACAGATTTATCGCAATTGTCTCGTATTATATTTTAATATGTAAAACGAGTTAAGAGTTACGCTATATTTTGCTTCAATATATTTAATATGTTATGCACGAGGAAGATTGTTTAACAATTCAGACTATATACTTCTGTTGCGAATTATTTATTGAAAATGTTTCTACCAACATTTATTTCCATGGAACACTACAAAGATATTTTTTTTTTCAAAGACAATGAAATAGAGGGAGTGCTATGTACATGTGGTAACACACAAGTTTTTTTTTTATAATAATTTAAGCTTACAAAGCTAGTTGTTGTATTCAATAGAATGAACATTTTTTATTTATTAAACTTGTACATACAAGTACATAATGTACAAATATGTTTAGATTGTGTCTACGTGTAAATATGTAATCGGGAAAGCCTGAACTGAACATAATAGAAGGCTGTACCTTCAGTATTATTAAGAGCTGCGAGTGTTTTACTTATTTATATTAAAATTTAACTTCCAATATTGAAAATGTACAAACATAACTGAAGTAACACTATAAGTCAATAAGTTTCCTAATATTTCTGACGTAATTCTGATAGATTCGAAATTGATGTGTAGTGTTATCCGTAGCCCGGGCCCCGCTGCCCTCTTTCATTCATTCTTTTTATGCCAAAAGTGGCAACATTCTGTGAGCACGATAATGTGCATCTTCTCCTTTTAAGGTGACAAATATGCATGTGTTAAGTCACGTATGTACTTCTACTCGTGCGATGAAAGCAGTTACATGTATTTTTCGTCGGATAAAATTTTAAGGTTACATCTCTTAATAGATAGAACTCATCTGAATAGAGATGTCATTGCTCCGGTGAGATTTTAAAATTTTACATCGGTTGAGATCTAACAAGAGATGTAACCTCTTTCGCCGTATGAGATATTTTAAGGGATGTAACTCTTTGTTGGACATCTCTCAGTAGTTATAACTCTTTTCATCGGATGAGGAATATTAAGAGATGTAACCTTATTCACAGTGTTGATTGTAAATATATTTTTTTTATAAACTTGTGTCTGTTTGTAATTATGTAGTAGTATATGCAGTAGTATATAGAATTAAATATAAAATAGTGCTCGTAATCAATCTATATGTATACTAAATATCAATATAATTTGCATGAAACTTAACATATATATATATTATATAAATCTGAAAATAAACTTGTAGCAGAATGATAATATTATATAATGATGTAGTTATCTGAGATGTTAGTGTTTACATCTGTATGTATGTATTTACAGTTTATATGTCAGGTATTAAATCCATTGAATCTCGTAAATTTCATTTAAATATATTCGATTCAGACTGGATCCATGTTGTAAATACTATAATAATTTTGTCAGATATCCTGCATATTTGTCACCTGATAAGTTTTTGTTCCGCCTGCGTGACAGGCTTGTGTGTCGGATGTCACCGACATTGGAAATCATTTTGAGAAATGTAATTTTCTTATTGTAAGCAGCAAGTGAAATGCTTCGATGAAGACGTTCATCTAAATGTTCGTGAAATACAATTGATGTGATTTTGTATCCGAGAATTTTTATTTTCAATTTTCCATATCCTATATTTCCTTTATCCTAACCATTGAACGAATTTTACTCTCAAACTGTATTATTATGAATTTTTGAAGGAAAATTTAAATATCCGTTAAATATTTTTACCTGCTTAAGTTTTTTGGCATTCGAAGTTTACTGAAATGGTCAACGAAATCGTACATATTATATATTTTTCTCATAATGCACATTGAACATCAACACAGCATTGTTTTCGCCTTAATTATTTATGTTATAGACAATTAAACAATGTCGTTGTAAAATTAAATCCTGCAATCAACCAAAGCCATACGGAATTTATAAATATATGTGCTTTTCATCATAGAACTTAGTATGTACTAGATACAATGTGTATGTTTGTAGCGAGGTGTTGTAACTTGGTGTTTCTGTTTGTCAGCAGAACGCAGCGGCGAGCGGATGCCGGAGCCGCTGTGTCTCACGAACAGATGAGATCCGGCCCAACGGTTTACCCAGTCGATAGATATATGGTACGTACTCGTCATTAAATTAAACATTCATTAAGAGTATTCGACGCAATGACTTTTACAATATGAACTCAAAGCATGACCTTGTTGCCTCTGTTCTAAGAAAAGGCTTATGAGCTGGTCTACTATAGTATATAGTAGGTAAAAAAATAAGTACTTTTCTTAATTCTAGGTTAAGAGCGGCAACAAGATGGAAATGGTTAATGTCACTGACGATGAAATATGGATTCCGACGTCGGCAATAAAGCCCGAGGACGAGGCGATGTTGGACAGGCTGGGCGACCTCCTGCGCGCCGCCGCCCAGGACCTGGCCCTCGTCTCCGGCCAGCTCGTACCGCGCACCCCGCGCCCCACCGTCCTGCCTGCACCTCTAGACCAACAGTTCAATGAAAAGGTCCACATAGAAGAAATAGTCAATGCAAAGTTTCATAGATATAACATTGACGAAAAACCATTGCCCAAAAAATCTCAAGAAACGGGAACTAGAAATATGTGCATAAAACCTGTCCCGAAAACAGTTAATGCCTCTGTCCAAGTTAATCGACTGTCGAAACCGACAAAGCCTTGTAAAAAGAACTTAGCTATATCGCGAACCAAAATTGTACAAATTGATGAACATTTTAGTGATAATGTAAAAGATGTCAAACTTAATAATGCTAAGTGTAGTGCTGGTGGCCCTTGTGTTGCATATAATGAATTTACTTACACCTACGAGGAACCTAAAGTGAAGAATTGTAATCAGAAACCACTGCACGTACAAGAGATGCCCAGCATTAATATTAGAAGTGAATTGAGGGAACAGAAAGTTTTACAATTGGATATTTTACCTGAGCAAAAGGTGAGCCCCGACAACTTAGAGACGCAAACTAATGTTGCCGTCATTGCACTGCAACATGAACCCGCACCTAAAGTTGAAAAGAGAATCACACATTACCCGCAAGTTGTACATACCGCCCCTCCCCCGACCAAACCTGCCGTCAGAAGGGTGTCTAAAATGTTGCCCTGCGACACCAGCGATTCAACCAATAATACAAGTACTGACGCAGATAGAGCTGTAAGTCAAAAGGCGCACAAACCTTCTGTGCGACCTCCGTCTCGACGGATATCCGCAATCGTTGACAGCAAGAGTAAAAACAATGCTAAAAGCAAATTAACAACTAAGCCACCACAAAACCACCGCAACATTGACGAGTGGAAGAAAAAAATAAATACTATATACGGTCTCCCATCCACATCCAGAAATCGTAAAACATATCCAAATCAAAAGTTAAGAACATCACCTAAGAAAACGAATCCAATTCGAAATGAACAAATATTAAAATCTCAACTGAACAATGCTGAGTACATTCCTTATACAAAACTGACAATAGGAGGCATTAAAGTGAGTGATATTGAAAGAGAAATATCCGATATCCCCGACAAAGATATACCTCTCAGTCCGATCCTCGATAAAATATTGACCAGTAGAGAAAATTCTTTTCATAACAATCCCACTAAAGAAGGAAACAAACACGTTCTCACAACGTCTGATGAAAACTTGCTGGAGGAAGTGTTGGATATTGAAAGGAATGTTACCAAAACGTTGCGGAAAAATGTCAAGGAAAAGGTATCGCCGTCGAAATCTAACGTGTCTAGTGAAACAGAGAGGAGTGATAAACATATGACTTACGCTGATGACTTTGAGGAGGAACGAACAGAACACGAGCTCTCATTGTCTGAAGATGAAGTAAAGAATATTCCCGCAGATGACAAACACGAGACTTTTAACGAGAACGTCCAAACGCACGTTCACAATGCTACATACACGAAATCTACAAACCTCTCGCTTAAAAACTCCGTCGATATTTTCGAGTTCGTCCACTCAATAGATACGCAAGATCACGCGACTCAGAGCAACCCCGTATACAAAATATCATTGAAAGCGACCCAGACTTCGCCTAGGAACATACAACCTATACACAACGATCTGTGGCCTACGGAAAATACTAGAGAAGAGAGGGACAAGAAAGTAAACGAGGAATTAATCAAAAAACTGATAATGGATGAATGTTCAGATATACTCAAAAAGAACTTGGCGCAGCCCTCCACGTCTGAAAATAAAGAAGGCAAGAAAAACTTTGCAGCGTCACAGAAAAATACGCAGACGTCGCCCGCGCACGTGCGGAGCGTGATGACGTCACCGACCAAAACTAAGACTCGAACGACGTCACCGCTAGCACTGGCCCTGACAGTGGACCGGCAAACCAGTCCAGCGGCGCCGGCGCACCGCGAGGACCTGCGCATTGAACTGGATGAGATCAACGAACTGGCACTGTCGATCAATCTGTCCTCGCCCCGGTTCAGCTTACGTCTGCCGCGGACGTCGCGCGATGTGCTGTCGAACCTCGACGCCACCCCATCCAAGTTAGAAAGCAAGCCGCATAACACAACAGTTAAATTTCTCAACAAGTGCAGCAGTTTAAGTTCAGCGGACGGTGACTACTCGTCATCAGACATAAGTAGTCTGGGTGAGATCGAGCGTAAATTTAAAAGAAAAATAAAAAAGAATAAAATTCCTACAATATCCGAATCCAGCGGTTCCTCGATCGTATCCAAATATAGTTCAGATATTTCCAGTGTCATTCTGCCTTTAAGAAGTGAGGGGGAGGTGAGTGCGGGGAGGGGGGATGTTAGGAAATCTAGATTTAGTAGAAGTGACGGAGAAGTCAGTGTGGGACAGACGTTGCATTGATAGTTGCCTCGGTGTTAAAATCTGTTAGTCAGCGGATAAATATAGCGTCAGCAATTGTTGTCTGACTGTATGCGGCCATCTCAGCGCATTATGTATTAAAATGCTTCTTATTCAAATATTTTATGTATATACATATTGAATTGTATATAAAAACTAGTTGTCGTTACATATGTAATTATAAGTTTACCATATTTTATAATTAACATAAGTTCAATACATAAAATTAAGATTAAACATCAAATCGATAAGATTTTGTAAATAGTGTAACTATGAACTATACTCAAAATATATAATACATTTACATAGGTATGGGAATTTTAAGTGTTTACGATAGTATTCACTTGCTGTTTGAAAGTTAAACTTCGATGTTATTTTGTGCCTTGTAATGAATTGTACATACAATTGTGTTGAGTTGCTTCACTCGCCTTAAGTACAAATCAGTTATCACAAACTGTTTGTGATATTTTAATGTATATTGATAATTTTTTTTACTTTGCCATTAAGTTGATTATATTTTAAGCTTAAATAAACAGTTGTGCGTGCGATATGTAATTTATTGTTTTATTCAAATTATAAGAAGTAAATTAAAATAAATCGTTGAGTAAAAGTAGATAATTAATCAAACAAGTTTTTACTTACTATTATTTATTATTAAACATCGTAACAAAAAACATTCTAAATTCATTTGGTGGTTAAAAAAAGCCTCTAATCAGATTACTACTGTTAGGAAGAAAATTCGAAAACAAACCAGTGTATTGACTCAACACCAGCCTTATTAAAATGTGGAAGTTTGTGTCCCCTCACTATTCATTCTGACACTCGACTTTGTAACGAAAGCACGTCTCTCGAGCCAAAGGATTCTAATCTCCCCAAATCATTACAAAAACATCCCTCAAAAATATTATATAAATCCTAATTATCTTAAGTAAATCGCATATTTTAAAATGTTTTTACGTAAAAACTCTTGATTAATTTGTTCCTTTATACGTAACTACGTACTGATATTTTTGATTGTTTTTTATAAATTGTTCTAATTAAAAAATTATCTACAGTTCTAAGCTTTCACTTCATAGTTCAGATCTATCTTTGATGAGCCAGAAACTGTCTATCACCTGACCGTCCAGATCCACTGACACCTGCAAATAAATCACTTTTAAATCATTTGACAACATATTAAAGTAGCTATTTACTTGTGTTACTGATGTGTATTGTGAGCTGACCTGCTCCATGTTGATGTGAGTCTTGTTGAAGGCTTTGAACCTCGTGTAGCCGTAGTCCTGCGACCTGAAGGCGGACCATTTGTGCGGCTTACCTGGACAATTTAAAATATCAGTACACGACTTTACATCAGAATGACAGAGTTTTTATAATTTATTAATAAGATGAATCCCTAAAATATTAGTTACAGATGAAGTTGGATAAACGAGAGTCCAAAAACGAGACATTTTTTCACTTATTGCCGTTTCGCGCTTATCCAGGTATAAAATTCGTTCAATTCCCTTAAAAACATCTACAGTGAGCTAAGCACGAAATTGTGACAATCGCCTCAATATCGTCATCGTCAATTATGTCAAAATCAGTAAGATATTTTTGGTGTAATTTACGCCCGAAACACGCGCTGCACACATTTCGACGATGCCGATTGTAACAAACATTCGTGCTCAGCCCACTGTAGATGTTTGTGTATTGCTAGAGCAATGCTCGATGTCAAAGGAGATAAATAATGTGAAATACGTTTAAAGTGATCGCGTCCCTCCTGACAGCCCGCAGAGCCTGTCACCACGTGCACCGGCGCCCTGCAACATTACACACCTAGTTAACACAAATATCATATACATTTGTAACTTTGATAAGGGTAAATTGTCAGAAATAAAAAGTATGACGTCACTAATATTATTCTATCTACCAGGTTTTACTCCTGTGCATTAATGCGTTCTATAGCCAGAGGGGGTTATAGTGTAAAAAACCCACATAACCCTATTACCCCCAAAAGCAGTAAATATTTGTTTTTTTATTATACGAAATAAAAAAGGATTTTAGTAGTGTGTGTAGTCTTAGCATTTGGTATTTAATAGATCTCTCTATTTATTATATTATTTGTGAACAAAAGTTTTTTTGTGAACTTGGTAACGAAATTTTTTGAATTGGTAACGAAATAAAAATCAAATATTATCAAAATACATTTATTTCCCAGTTATTTAGTAGAATTAAATCGTATTAAGATTAACAAACATTCTCTAAAAATATTTATTTATTATTTATATAATGTTTAAAGCGTTTCATCACAAAAATGAAATACACAATTATATAATATAGATAACAAATATTATCTCTTTCATTTACATTTGCTGATCTCTAATTAATTGCACCTTAACTAATACTAAGGATATGTTTAGTTAATTATTAAAAAAACATTGCATATATTCTACTGCAATTTGTCGATATTTTTAATTAATATTTGGTATATTAAGACGTATTTTGTACTTGCTTTACAAATATGGACATAATAATATGTCTGTGCATATTATCAATATTCTGACAAACTTCTTCGCAAATATAATTGACCACAGTTATGAGACGTCGACCATCTTTCTCGTTTCCGCAAACTGTCTGCGACTTATATAAGTTATTCCTAAGTCCCCCTCCTCCCTGCTGGAGGTAAGTCTACAAGTTGTGGAAGGGATGATGGCGATGTTTGATCAGCCAGAAGGAGTCGATCACTTCGCCCTTCAGGTCCACGTCCACCTGCAGACATTCACACGGCGTACGTGATATAACTAAAATTCTCTTAATGCGACATTTCCTTTGAATGAAAAATATAATGAATACGTTATATAAGAGAGACATCACAACGATCTTACTATTTCTCACTAATATTATAAATGCAAATGTTTGGATGGATGGCACGTAACTACAGAACGGCTGAATGGATCTCGCTGAAATTGTCATAGATGTAGAACATAGTCTGAAAGAACACATAGGGTACTAATTAAGTTTATTTTAAATCGGTACGGACAGAGCCGCGGGAGAAGGCTAGTGAAATATAATAAGCAGAGTGTGTCACCTGTTCAATATGTATGTGGGTGTTGTTGTGAGCGTAGAAGCGCGTGTAGCCGTAGTGTGTGGACCTGAAGGCGGACCACGCCGGCGGCTTGGCTGCGGACAGACACACAGACACACAAACATTCAGCAGCTCCTGTTTAACTGTACGCAGAGTCAGCTATGTGGTACTCACAGACGAAGGGGTCGATGCGTTCCTGACACCCCGCGGACCCTGTCACTATGTGCACCGGCGCGCTGCAAACAAACATACAACATACAGTACCCTTCTTATATATATACGACGTAAGTGTTTATAATTTATAATAGTAATTAAGCAATGCACATTTCTTCAAGGAACTGTTCCACAATGTCTAAGTTAATCCTAAGCTATGAAAGACGAAGGACAAAAACTATTTCGATAGAAAGTATTATTATGCCGATAATTTATTTATTAATTGAATATCAAGCAATATATTTGAACGTTGTGGAACAGACCCTTTAATTTCTATAACATAACTATGTTAACAAACTTATTTACTGTATTGCTGTTTCCATAGTTACAAGCTGTTATTGATTAGTTATAAGCAAAATAATAAGCGTGAATGATTTGTCAGCTTCATAATAAAATGTAATTTAAGAAACAATTATTTACCTTTGAACAAAAATTTGGAAGAAAATGATAATTTGTTTCACAGCACGAAATTGAAATACACAAAAGCGATAGTTTCACAAAACTCATCAATACATTGAAAAAATATTAGTACAATCGTTAGTAAAAAGCGCAAAATTGTATTGGTGTTGTTATAGCCGTTGTTAAATAATTCGAAAACAGTTTTTTAAACGTCACCAGACTAGAATAGAACTTATCAAACTGATAAATAAATAATATTACATGTTTTGAATACATAATAAAATCATTTCGATATTCGTGTTACTTAAGTCAAAACTGTAAATAAATGTTTGAACAAGTGGAGTGAAGTGTGCAGTGTGCTCACCCGGGGTTGGTGTAGGGCTGGTGCAGCGAACCGTTGTACACCTGCTCGTCATACACCGGCCACAGGCGCTCGTAGGAGTGCTCGTGCGCCCACACCACCAGGTCCACCCCGTACTGCTTCAGCAGCGGCTCCATGCCTGGACACACGGCACGTGTGTATATTTTTTACGTGTTGTGTTATCACAATCTTTTAGCCAACGTCTCGAAAAACCTGGAAGCTTTCGTAACTATTTTAAAACGTGAATTTTTCAATGACACGGCAAATTACTTCTTCGGCAAATCTTTACATAATCTAGAATTAAAAAACACTAACCGTAGCTTTCTGAGACCAAAATCGTTGTATAAAAATCATCATTCCTGTCATGTTTGACAACACAGAGATAACAATATGTTTTAAACGAGGATTTTGGTTTTAGAAACTCACGGCTGAAACGTAACACTCACCGTAGCTTCCCCAAATGGGTAAGCCTTTCCTGGTGTACTCGAAGCTGCAGTCGATGTCGTCAGAGTTGCTGCAGTACATAGGCCTGTGACCGTACAGCACTATCCACGGCCTCTTAGCTCTGCAACGCCGCACACACTCACACACTTTATACTTACACTTATACACCTACTTGTCGGATATGTCGAAAGTACAACAACTGCTTTCCCTACACTTAAGTACAATAAGTGTTGTTTTGGAGATCCGTCTTGTACAAGAGATGTCGTGTGCACTCACCCATGCCCAGCAGTGGGAGACCGACGCGCGTGGGCAGGTAGTTGTTCTCGCAGAGCACGTGCTCGTTGCTGCAGTACATGGGCCGGTGCCCGTATATTACTATCCACGGACGAAGCCGCCTGTTGACGAAGCCGACTCTCTCTTTACACTGTTATTGTATGCAAGTTGCTCTGATATTAAGAAATTTCATAATATACTCATCGATGATCCCGAAAGATTAAAATTTTCTTGTTAGACACAAAACAATTTTTTTTTCTCAGAAAAAGAAAACATTGTAGGTTTCAGTAAACTGAATCTAGTATCTTGTTACGTAAGTTCACATTGCTCGTCGATACTTTACTCCATAAATTCTTGTATCCACATTTCACATGCGTCCAAGAAAATGATTTCAATGTTTGACTTTAGTTCAGTTCAAGTCATTCTTGTTCCAGCAGAATAAAGGAAATTGTAACACAACAACCACGTGTTTAATATAAAACTGCGCTCGGTTAGTAGAGAAAGAAGAAAAATAAGCTGAAAGAGAAAGTGGCCGTTACCAAAAAAAAAATCCTCTTTTATAAGCTTTATTTTAATCTTGTGTTTGTAAATTTATTTTATTTTGGACAAGAAATACAGCAGTAATCATTTCCAGCTTTGACCCGTCAAATGTTCCATTCAATATGTCTATGCTATTTAATTTGGAGCCATGTTCGAAATTTTAGACTTCTTGGATAACTTCTTTCTTGTTGATGTAAAAGCACCATTAAACGCTTCACATGAATGTTATTACGTAAAAATTGCAAACGTAAGTATATTAGTTATCAACCTTGAGTTTCCACTTTCCAAACACTTGTACGGAAACATATTGTTGTCTCTTTCTCGTTTGTATAGTGGAAACACACACACACACGCACACATACACGAGTAACAATTCATAAACAAATCGTCATGCCTTTAGACGGATTCCAAAACAACACGCTGATATTTATTTAGTTAAATTGTCAACTGAAAAATCTGTAAAAGGTAAAGAAAAATAAAAAAAATCTAAAAAAAGGGTTTATGTTTATCCTAAAATATCTGACAAACGCGAACTTTTGTAATTGATTTAACGCATTAATATTAGCAGTTGTTGTAGTTTTCAAACATCCGGGACATAACAGATAACATTGTGACATACAAAAACAATATATGAACATACAATCATATGTTGTTTTTATATATTAGTGAAAATTATTATATGTTGCATCATAATAACATATTAGAGACATAAAGAAAACAAAACAACATAAATATATTAGCACGTAGAGACAAGACATGTGTTAAAACATAAAAATATTCAGTTAATTATTTCTTATATTTACGAGAAAATTACACGTGGAATATTACAGTCTTATTGTTGCATGTAAATTATTGCATGTAATGTGTTTTTTTTATTTTATTACGATGAATTTTCTTCTTTGTTTCTAGAACTTTTTAGCATTCATATTTAATGTAAACTCTAGTAAGATTACGTATAAATATTATGTTTACTAGTTCACTAATCGTTGGTTTCTGAAATCAAAATCTCTGTTTTGACATCTCTGTCATTGTTGTTGTTGTTTTTATTATTCACTCGAAAGAGCAGGCAAAGGAACTAAGCCATACAGCCTGTCTCTGTCATTGTCTTTGACAAAATAGAGATAATGATATGTTGCCAGCCGGGATTTTGGTCTCGGAAACCCACGGTAACTTAGATGAAGTGTACGGCGTAATAATTTAAATAAAAAATTAATCATTTTTTTCGTTTAATTAGTCTTTCTTAACGTTTATGAAGAGGTTTCAAACCTTTTGCTCGGTAATATTTTAATTCGCAACATCAGAGAGTCGTTTTTTTAAATTAAATATCTAGATATATCCACGCAATATCTTCTTTAGTTTGTGCGAAATGAGAAGTTTTTATATTGAATAATTTGTAACGATGAATACGCTAGCATGTTATGTTACGTTACTAACGTGATACGTCACTGATATTGTCACTGAGAGCTGTAATTATAATGTTCATTTTATTAATGATAAGTTATGTCATTGTCCGAATGTTAAACTTTATTATCTCACTAGCCACATTATTATAAACTGACAAAGTTGAAGATGTTTCGGTAAAACAGTATTTTAGTATCACCATCTGGAATTATGTTTGTTACAGCGTAACTCAACAACAGCTGAACCGATTTTGATAAATTCAGGAACAGAGTTAGTTTACAGTTTAAATTATGCGCAGACGTTTATTTTGAGGGCGGGGAATTCGCGTGCTCCAGCTGGTAGATACGAACCTGTTCTCCTCCCTGTTGGCCTCGCTGAGGTCGCGGTGCAGCCAGCGGAACTGGTTCTCTAACACCTTGAGGCCGTACTGCAAGAAGTAGTATGGCTCCGTAGAGATGGAGACGAAGTGGACGGGCCCCACGTCGTAGCTGTAGTACAGGTTCTCCGCGCCGCCCGGCATCGAGAACCGCGCGCGGTAGTTGCTGAAATTGCTGCCGCCACACAAACATAACTTACTGTATATGTTCGACAATTTCCTCGTTTTGGTGGCTATAAATAAATAGCAAGTTGATAACTTCGTATAATTTTGTCCGAACGATTACATGATATGAGGCATGTTGTCTTTGTGTACTAGTACTTTCTACTTATGTATATGTACTTGTATTCTTCCTTGTTACTTCTACTTTTGCTGTCGTGATGTTCTAAATCTAAGAGATGTTAAGGTATAGAGGTTAAGTTTTAGTACTGACTAGGCCTCCTCGTGGTTGCCGGGGCAGGCCATGTACGGAACGAGGGCGGCCAGGGGCTGCACCTGGCGCATGAACTGGTCACCGACGCGCGCGTTGTCGTCGTGCATGTCGTACGCGAAGTCACCCACGTGGATGATCAGGTCGAAGTGCCCGCGCTGCGCCTCGTCTTGCAAGTACGACAATGCCTGCCAGCGAGAACCAGCTTTGGTCCATTATTAAGTCTTCAAGACACGCAATACAACCAGAACTTCTCGTTCTAATTCTGAATTTCTGAAACCTGAGACTTCAACTAACCGTTGGGCCATAACAAAGATGTGATGGTATCGTTGTTCGTGGTTACTGGTTTAAAACGTATTTGTAGGAGAGTGCGACTTACGTGTGCGTTTTTGTTGCCCATGTCGCCAAAGATGGCGGCGCGCACCACCCAGTCCTCGCCGGCCGGCGGAGTCTTGAACCAGAACTCCTCTGACCATCCGTACTCAGAGCCCACGTGGTACACTGCCATTTACCAACAAAACATAAACTCATGAGCCCAATAGAGAAAAGACATTGAAACAATCTTAAAAACGTTTAGGATTTGGCTCTCTTTGAACTTAATATCATTTATTGTGGGATGTTTTTGAGTCTGAACGAGATGTTTACCATATGTGGTGTCATGCTTGAGATCTTTCATGAGGACGCGATGTATGAACTGCGCGCGGCGCTCTGGCCCGCCGTCCACAAAGAGCGTGCTGCGCCCCGACGCCTCCTGGTCCATTTGGCCCACGCCAAACTGCGCGCGGCTCTCGCCCGTGTCGTTGAATGTCGACCATGTCGCCACTATATCGTTCGTCTTCTCTGGAGTCGGAAATTTAAACATCCGAGAAATAATCAACTTTATTAACATCAAAGTTTAACTGAATGATGTTCTAATAAAAAGTCCGTTAAATATTTTCCGTTATACTACAGTTCAATATAATACTGATGATAACGTAAGTATAACAGAAAAAATTAAAATAACTTGTAACATGTTAGTACAATAATTTTCCTATAACAAATACGCGGCTAATTGAAAATAGTATTTGTGTACAATCAATTTGTCAAGCGGCAGTCATTATCGGCTGAAGATTGCGCGCATTGCGAGCCGCGCCCGCAAGGTTGACCTGGAGACTAAGGAGGAGGACATGAGTATTGACTCTATGTGGTCTGCTCTGTCCCTTTGTTCTGTTTGATCTTGATGTGATACAACTAGCGATTATTATTATTAAAGAGTTTAGATATTTATTTCAGTAAAACTGTAACAATTTCCATACTCATAAATCACATATTATAAATATGGAAATTGTAAATTATGATTACATATTTAAGTACAACATAAGTGGTTGAAACAACATCATGCTTAATTAAAATTTGCCATCATGCATTCTTATTCTGGGAAATTAAAAAGTTAATTGCCTAACAACTGTGCTGTTTCATTTGCCAGTTACTGAAACAATAAAATTACTAAACAATAACTATTATTGGAACTACCAATTTTTTATGATTAAAAGTTTTTAAAACTATATATTTGAACAAAGACATGGTTATTTGCCAGAAATTGTATTTTATATAAAAAATAATAATTTTAACTATCACTATTATAATAAATATGTAGTATAAACAAGTTAAGAAAGTAGATAAGTGACCTCTTTGCTTATTTACACACACATTATCTGAATGATGAAATTATATCCAAACAAATTTTCTAACAAAGACTCAATGTTCTGTTTTTTTATTTCCTAAATAAACGATATTTATGTACAGAGTTATTACATCATAATAGTATAGACATATGTCAACATAAAACTGTACAGCTTGCACTGAACATGATACAGTATCCTTCACATCTCTTATCAGTATTACAATGTTTGATGTGTTTTGTACATGATTATCCTCATGTCCCTGCTTTGCTTAGCTAAAAAGGTACTGGACTAAAGAAATATAACCCTTTTAGAACAACTTTGTATTTGTAAAAAAAATTAGTATCATTCCAGTACTTATTAAGCATTTACTTATTTCTTCTTTAAACATCCAAAATATTGCGAAAGAAAATAAAGATTCCTAAAATTTGCGATGATTCTGACAGAACAACGATATATTTCATTTGTAAGTTAATTGAAAAGTAATTGTATAAAAATAAGTAAACGGGAATTTTGCATTATCATTCTAATAACAGGTGCATATATTACACAAATCATTCTACATTGCAGTGTAGAATTTAATTACTCACCTCCAAAGGAAATATGGACCTGTTCAGGCTGGCAATAAGGACAGTCGTATCCTGGCCCTACTCTCGCTTTTTCAATTTTCGCCCGCGAAAAAGCAACACACAAAAAAAGGATTAAAATCTTCATATTATATTACCAATGTCAAACGTTATCATTACAAAAGTAACAAGGAAATAACTGCTTGCTTTGTCACAGTTGAACACTCGCCAACAACTGTAACAAAGGCAAGCGATGCATAGGTTGTAATTACGAGAATTGTTTTGAATCGAATCGCGGGCAATAAAAACTGAGTTTGATAACAATAATCAAACCGATACAACTACAACTTCACTGTCACTTTAATAATCACTCAAAATTGACATTGCCAAATTCGTTCTGAAACTTTAATACTTATTTTTCAAAGGTGTCATTTTGAAATGGAGAAAGATATTTTAAAATGATTTTTTTTTCCAAAAATCAATTAACAGGAAAACTTTTTTATACAGCAAGTGAAGTACAGAACTACAGTTGTTGTATAAAAAGTACAAAAAGGATCTTATGACAGTGACAGGGGGCGCTAGTGCGCTGACATAATTTAGTTTTGTCTTATGCCCACTGTTTTTTAGATGACTAAAAATCAAAGTGGCAGTCTATAGCACAATAAAAACCGACGGTGTTTCCGAGTCTCTTGTTACCGGTATACTTAACAAGATCAGAATTCTGTCCAACCAACTAGCAAGTATATCTATATGTTCATCTATTTTTAATTTCATAAATACCAAAATTTATTAATTTGTGATGCAAATCACTGTTGGTGACTGAACATCGTTGCCTAGTAGACTTTTGTGACTACCCGCAGAGCGGTTTTTAAATGGCGTCTGCGGAATAAAAGTTGATTTAATCACAATCTGTTACATTTAATACTTCACAAATTATATGCTTAGAATTACATTACATTCATCTTAAATATTAAAAATAAATAGATTTTCCGGTTTCACTGATCTTACATTAACACACACACTAAAACAGAAAAAACTGGAGTCCTTCTCGGACAAGCATTAAAACCTGAATTACAGCCCTAAATTTATTTAAAGAGTTTATTTAATCTTTGTTATCAATTGTACCTTATTTTTAAATTATCACACAATACGATATTCATAATTCTTATTTGCCCTCACTTAGATATGTCTAAAGACTACATGCGATATTCAAAATATCCCGAAAACACGTTAGAAAATATCTATGTTCAAATTTTGTTTTTATTCTTTTGTCGAGCACGAATAAATGCTTCATGAAAGATTTTTTTCTGTTTTTTACTAGCGTTTTTCTTTTTGAAGATGCATCGAGGAACTACTTTTGTAGTTACGGCGGGACGTTCTTCTATTCTCATTGATAAAATGGCCCAGAGGAAGGCATCACTCTTCTCAATTTCATACGCCGTCGCGCCGAGTCTTAAGTATGACATCAATTTATTAACTAACTTAGGATGGACTGCCACAGTACAATTTCTGCTGTGGTCGAAAGGATCCTGTAAACAAATTATGCTACCCATTCTCAATGGCTTACACCTATCGTTTTGTAAATTTTCTCTATATAATCTATACTCTGGTGGCTCATTTCCCACTTTGGAAAAGGATTCTCTAGTTATTGGTTGCCCCAGAAATGGACTAATAATAAACTTATCATAGTTAAAATCCCTGTAGAATATAAAGAAACCACCGAGAAGATCATAAAGGGTTATGTTGTTGCCACTAATGTGCATAACATCCTCAAAGGCCACATTCCAGTTGTCAACAATATGTTCGTTGCTTTGAAGCCTATGTACGGGCGGTAAAATGGCTTTTTGCTGTAAATAAAATACTACTAGTAAAATCATAGCATAGTTGGGTATTAAATTAGTGCCCGTTAGCCCATGTATTTTTGCCCAGTACTTTATTAGAATAGTGAGTGACTTCCCTCTGTGATCCAATTCCATATAGTAAGCTAGTAATTTGCTATTTTCGATAGATTGCGGGGACGTAAAAGTGATATCGCACTGTCGTTGAGTCGGGATGTGGTAAAATTTTACAATTGGAATCTTAGCTTCACTGATAGCAAAAGGCTCCTTGAAAATATGAGGTTGTTTTTTGAGGAGTGCCCTGGCTTTATAAACATAGACATTAGCCGGAGACCAAAGCCAGGGGGGCACGCTGATGTGGCAGTCCAGGTCACTAGATTTTATTCCTAGCCCGGTAACAATAGATCCAAATGCATGGACAGTACAACCTGAAACATGTGATCAATATTTACTTACTTAAAAGGAATACCAATTCATGGAGTTTTATGCATATAAATAATTTAAGTACTAACCAGGCCAAGCTTTCTCCATTGTCCCCTGCAAGTCATTAATTAATATTTGCAATTGTTCCACCTCAGTTCTAGTCAATCTAATGTACTTCATAAGTCCTTCAACTTGTGAATCAAAGTTACCTTCCAAGTGTAAGTTGGTTATGTCTAAGATGTCGTCTGAAATGTATGTCATAAAATCTATTAACGTAATTAATCTTAGTCAAACCTGGATAAGGAAATCCCAAAGGACTGTCATATTTTTGTTGCTTACGGAGGTTGTCTGTCAGGACCAGACAATAGCTCCTTATAGAGGTTTCTCACTTCTCCAGTTCTCTCTTATCTAGGTTCGACTGTTATAATACATAGTAGTCACAAGAAATATGAGCCCCGGCCTTAACAATTTCCAAATTTTGAAAAACAAGATGTTAGTTACACAAAAAATTGTTTATGGGTCTCCCTGGGTCACCCCAGAGTCTGAACCTTGTTTAAATGGAATTAGTGAACAATTACCATTATTCGCCATTTTCTCCACATGGTTTGACGACAACTTTTCAAAAAACGTGTTGGTATCTGAAAAAAAAAATATTTACAAAACCTTCTTAACATTTATGAAAGTTATAATTTGGCATAACTGTTAAACATATTAGACAAAGGGTTTTATCTTATTTTATCATTTTGGACTGGTTTATTAGTGTGTTGTGTTAGAAACTTCAATGCATTAAATAAACAATGTACAAACATGTTGAAATAATCTTACTACGTGAAAAAAATCCTAGTTTTTATTTGTACTAACCGTTTGATTTTTATAGTATACGATGTGGTCATATTAAAATTATAAAAACAATTATCAAAATAAAAGGAATATCGGATTGAAAAATGGTTCAATTTCAACTAATGACAGTGACACAAAACAAATCGGACACATGGTAAAATGACAGTGGCACATGAAGAATTTTTTTTTTTAATTTTATGACCTGGTAACATAGACCTATAGGTCATATCTTATTTGAAAAATGTTAAGATTTACTACACTTCACAAAAATTCGTCGTTTAAACTAAATGTACAGCCTCCGTTGTTAATATCTGACGAAATTGGCTGATGGTATTCATGTGTATTTCATAGCATAAAGCACTCACTCCCATATACTTAGCTAACGAGCAATAGCAAAACTCAACCCTGCAGAACATCTCTGATCCGCAGGCTGTATATCAAGAGAATGAGCTCCATGTGAATTATACAAGGCTCTTCATATCAAAAATCTGAAGTGTTTGACACTGGATACTGAGTGAGGAAATGGAACAGAGGCCAGTTTTAGAGGAATTATTCACTTAAAACAAATAAAACGAACAATCAAAACTATTCATTTATTATTCCCTTATAAAATTTTAATACAAGATAAAAAAAATATTTTTTCGATGGCTCGATAATACAGAGCCACAATATTATTGCTTAATAGACATGTCTTTTGATTTAGAGATTTCAACTCGTACGATATATCTTATTTAAATTAACAAGATTGTCATAATTTTCGACTTACACATTTAGAAATGCCTATTCGACATTATGTATAAAATCGTTATAAGAGGATAGTAAAAAATATTACTTATTACACTCTAAAATGAAATGATGTCATATAGTATAGAATAAAAAAAATTGAAAAAATTCTAAAAGTAAAAATATCACATGCTAAAATATTTTTTGTATTCGTTCAGGATAAAAAATAATCTTAACGACACTAAGTCATGAGGCAAGTAGAGTGGTTTACTTGATAATTTCTTGATATAAGATGAAAGAAAAATTGTGACGTACGTAACATAATACGTATCAACAGGCCAACACTTTGATTCACATGCCATAGGAAATTCTAGCACAGGAGTTGTAATCGTGGACTACGCTACCATTTACAATATGCTATTATTTTATTTAGACTTCACTGCTCTGATCGCTTTCTAGAATGTTAATGGGTCTTGTTATTCTTTAGATTTAACACTTTCAAGCCGCATGGTTAGTTTCAGCCGGAACGCCGTTGGACGTCGGAGTGTCGTCTTGTTCACAGTCAGGCGAGTCATCATCCTCACAGTCGGGCGAGTCCTCGTCGTCACAGTCAAGCGAGTCGTCATTGTCACAGTCGGGCGAGTCGTGGTCGGGCGCTGCGTGCGCGTGCCTCGCGGTCTGAATGTGAGGCCTCAGCAGCGTCTTCAACCACGGATTCATTATGGTGTGAAAAAATCTTCCAAACTCACGAAAGAGGTCCTTGTCGCCTTTCAAATATCTGACGCAGACTTTAGCTCGTCTCGGCTCATTAGTGAATATTATTTCGAACTGAAAGTTTAATTCGAACGATTGCTCCTCGACTTTGATGATTTCATCAGTTAAATTCCTCTGCCTCTCCAGGAACTCGGAGGTCCGCAGATAGCACATCTTAGACTTTCTTCTCCACACGGCCTTCGTCGCCATTGTGGTGAACGTAACCATTTCTTTTTCCGTGCCTATCGTCTTCTCTTCGGTTTTGTTTAAGGCCATACCCAAAATTTGGTGAAAAATTATTTCGGCGACATCTCTGATGACAGACTTCCAGTCGGGATTCTTGATGGCGGCGATTTCTTTCGGGTTGATGTTGGTTTTGTACTCTGTGGCGTATTTTATTCCGAACGTCTTCGGCTTTTGAAGCAAAATAATTCTTAGGAAACCTCGGCATCCGTTCATTTTTTCTCTTTCGTAAGCAGATGCGGCAAAAGTAAAAAGCGTACATAAATCGGCGGCCATCCTGGCGGAGATGCCGCAGGCCACGTTGTGGCTGTGCTCGAAGGGATCCTGTACGCATATGGGTGTTGTGAATTTCAGAGGAGACATTACATTTTTTTCCACGTTAGTTCTGTAGCGTTTGAATTCGCGGGGCAAAGTGGAGATATCGGCGAAGAGCGTTTTTTTGACCGGATAGCCGAGGTAGGGACAGACGAGAAGTTCCTTGAAGTCGAAGGTGGCGTAGTACTGGAAGAAGCCGCCGAGCAGCTCCGCCACGGAGGAGGAGTTGGTGGAGCGCGGCAGGTGGGAGTAGTCGCTCATGAAGCCCGCGTTCCACTGGTCGATGTCGCGGCGATGGGCGGGGTCCCGCTGCAGCCACCGGACCGAGGGCAGGATGGAGACGGAGGCTTGCTGAAGGTAGAATATGATCATCATGGTGAGGGCGTAGTTGGTGACCCTGCGGGAGCCGGTGAAGCCGTGCACCTGGGCCCAGTAACGGACGAGGAGGGCGAGGGGCAGCAGGCGCGGGTCGGCGTGCAGCAGGAAGTCGATGAGGTGGCTGTTGCAGGTGCCGAGCGGCGTCTTGAAGGTGAGGTCGCAGTGGGTGCGGCTGGGGATGTGGTACAGCTTTATGATGGGTGTGTTGGCTTGCGGGATGGGCACGATGTCGGAGAACAGAATCTTGTGCATTTGAAGGACTCTCCTGGCCTTCATTATGTAGTTGTTGTTGGAGTGCCGCAGTTTGTTGGGGATTTGAATGAAACAGTCTGCATCGCTGCACTTGACGCCGAGGCCGGTGGTTATGGAGCCGAAGGGGATTGCCATGCAACCTGTTAGGATACATAAAAGGCCGAGTTGAGTGTTGATTTCTATTTTAGAAACTGTTTGTTTGTACTCTTATACACATAAGGTGATAAGATACAGTAATTATTAATTTAGCTATTATGTTTGTTAACATCATGCAGCACTTTGGATATTTACCGGGCCAGATGACCTGCAAAACCTGTTCAAGATCCGAGTAGAGGTCAGTTATTTTCTCCACCTCTTCTTGTGTGAGTCGTATCGCCATCAACACGTTTTCCAACTGTTCATCGAACTCCCCGGACAACAGTATTTCATGTGGACCTAATATAGTCCCTGGAAAAAACATCAAGATATTTCGTTCATTTTTGGAAATGACAAAATCATTTAAAAACTTATAAATGACGAAAAGTAAAGCCTTCTAATGTATTGATAAAATAAATCTTAAAGATTCTTACTTCCTTTTTTACTTTTCGGCTTTTCTTTTTTTGGTGTAACAATTAGAGGTTTGGTGTAGAAAGGTTTCACACAAACTATTTCCCCATACACAGTAATTTTCATGGATTTATTTGTGGCAGCTTTCGCCTCCTCGTTACTGCTAAATGATAGGGTGGCGTAACGTTTTGTCACTTTTTCCACCTTTACCGTGCCAAATTCTGAAAATACCTTCTCCAAGTCTTCCGGTTGAGTATACATGGGGAATCCTGAAAATATAACATACAGGAATACAATATGAATGTAAAAAATTTAAAAAATAATCATGTGAACACAATATAACAGTTGTGTGAAAAACATACTTATATGAATTAAATTTGTTAGAAATAAATACCTGTAACATGAACTTTGTTGGGTATATTATGTACCATATGTGCATTTTGTTTGGCATCCATTTTCTACATTAGATGTTTCCCTAAAATATATAGTCAAATAAAAATATCGTAGCAAATAGACAGAAATAAATTATGATCCAAATATATATATTTAAAAAACAAAAATTACCTGTTTTAACGTCAGTAACTTTAGTAAAATAATTGGGAGTCAAATAGCCTGCTGCATTGCCTGTTGTCAGAATAACCCCATTAACGGATTCATAAAACTTTATGCCTTCAGCCAGTGCCTTGACCAAATTGATGAATATGTATATTTGTGCGTTATTACGTATACCACTGACTACATTTGTATCTAATGTGCCTTTGGATAAATGAATATGACGCCTCTTCATACGACTGAGACCTTCCTCTTTTATCTGTGGCCAACAATTGTAATATGTTCCATGTACCACTGTTTGATATTTAGGCTAAAAAGGTAACATTACAAGAATTTAATCATTTTACAATTGAACCTAATTAAGCAAGAATCATTATAGGTCCCTTGATTAGTTCATAAGTAAGAAACTCGGGTAAGAATTAAACTTCAATAAGCGAGAAACATAGTGTGGTCTCTCAGACTCTCGCTATTTCAGGTTAAAAAGAATATAGAATTTTAAAGAGAGAAAAAAGATTAAAATATAAAAATGTTGCACAGACTAATGTAAACTAAAGCATTTGAAATGATGCTATTTTTTTTAAACTAGTTTATACTTACTTCTAATATAGGTGTTAGATCAGAATCATCAATTTCTATAGAATGCCCTTGATTTGCTTTTATTTCCAATATATTAGTTACAGAATTCCATCTCAATTTAAATCTCTGTTTGTCATTATAACTGACTACTCTCTCTACATCACTTTTGTCATACTTTCCTTTAAAATTTTTATGTTTTAGTAATACATCCACAGATAGGTATCCATCAGTGCTGAAATGTTAATCATTTAATGAGGATGGATCAACGTATTGCTTCGTAATTGCTGACATTAACATATTCAATAGATACATTTGCTTTATTATCATTTTGATGTACAGTAATTTTGTATAAATAACGCAATATGATTTAAAAAGACCCACCTTAACGGAACACCTTCTTTGTGAGCGCCGTGTCGCAGTAACCAACTTAAAGACTTGCTGAGCTGTATATCTTTTTTATTCCTGTAAATACGACGTCTATGTGAACGTGTTTACAGAAATTGTGCAGTATGCATTATAGTATCCCTACATTTATGATCGCTTCTAATAAACTTCTGAATATAATTATCTGATCAACCAATACTTATGTACTTTAAAACAAATAATGAAATAGTTATAAAGAGTCGGAGCGTGGTATTAAATAAATCAGGAAATCCCAAGTTGAAAATAACAAACCAAAGAATAAAACCAAACCGCACAAAAATGCTCTGATGACAGGTAAACAGATAACATGATATGACTTGGGACATAGTGTATGCACAGAATATAACTAGGTAAGTATCATCATACACAAATAAATTAAAAATAATAAAAATTAGCCATTATAGGTAAGTCCTATGCCCAGGAATGGAATATCTTCTACGTTTTGTCCCGAGCAAGCAATGAATTGAGTCAGCTATTAGATTTTATAATTAACAACATGTTCATGGAACTGGACAAACCTTTAAGACGCATTTACTGGATAATTGTTTAGGTGGGTTCTATTAATCGTAAATTTACTCTAATGTGACGCCGTACTAAAAATCCAGTATGCTGTTTGAGATACTACATTTTTTTCTTCTACGAATACGTGTATATCTTATCTACAGTTTAAAATTATAAAATCAATAGAAACTCATTTTTATTGATTAAATCAAACCATAGACGATATATCATAGACAGAAGTCAGCTGACTTAACTTTTATCATTGGTCTTGTGATAAGTTGCAAACTCCGCCATTCTCGGATCATCTTTTCAATCTTTACCGTCCCGTGAGTCCAAATTTTCTTTTTTAAACAGTTATTCAATTAGTTTTGTTTTATATTATTTGTGCTTGTGTTACTAGATGTAAGTAGTTATGTCTTAAGCTTTATAGGGATATAGATTATTGTGATTCCGCCATTGAAAACTCTTATTCGGCAGTCTTGTAATGTCACACATTTTCATGTTTTTAGTTTCATGTTTTTCTCGACTATAGTTCTTCGTTCAAGCCACTTTCTTGTACGTATCAATTACGTCGATACATAAAATTGTATAATACATGTATGTATATAACCATGAAATCTTTGATTCAGATACACCCATGATCATGTGATAGAATTTTCTGTCCTGAATTCAAAATTCTCTGGACTATTATTTCTTGTCCCCATGACTTTTTTTCATGTAATTAATAGGATATTGTGCATGATATTCTATTTTTCATGTACAAAAATATTTTTATTAGTCTTATTGGAATCATACATGAACTACATACACAAGTGTTCACTTCAAATAGGTAATTCATTTTTATAACCATTATGACCGTATTCAATATACCAAATTTCAATGTTGAAAGTGTTATGTGAACATTTTTCCTAGAATTCCTAAGTCATTCTAAATCTGGACAAATCTATCTAGTCTAATTAGAGGTTTAATAATATTGCTGCATATATGCATATATTTTTCTGTTAATTTGAGATATTGCCTAATATTATCGAAATATTTTTACGCAAAATTCATGTTAATAAAATCAAATAACTTTAAGTAAGTAAACCATCCATTAATCTTCTTTAGTAATGGAAGTTTCCAAACTTACACCATTTCCTGGCCTTATTTACTGAGTATATAAAGTAAAATTTGCTACAATTAATTCTTATAGAGATTGTTACATACATTCACCATTTTCAAACACAAAGAAAAAAATTAGCATGGAAATTGCAATTATGTAATATTGTAAAGATAAAGATCCTTCTAGTCCTGGTAATATATTGACACTATTATATAATTCTGTATTTCATATTTGATTCCTTCTCAGGCATTTGAAACAAAGTACAAGACCTCAATAAACCCAATCCCACAAAATAATGACTTAAAGTAAATTGCATAAAGCAAATAAATATAAGATTATAATATTATGAAACTTTAGTCATCTTAGAAAAAACCTGTAGTGATTTGACATTGATGGATGGCTGCTGTTATCTAGGCTTGATATGAGCTAGGTCAGCTGATACACCTGTCAGTTTGTCTATAGGTTTGGACGAGCTAGTTATTGCTCAAAGATCTGTATTTTTCCTTTCATTTTTCGTAATTTTCAGTGAGTATATATATATTCCTGTTCTTAGCTGAGTGTCATAGACTTAATTTGGGAACTAAAATATTAATGTTATAAGTGTGATTATTCAAGTCTTTAGGTTTTGAAATCATCGGAGAAATTATCTAAAGAGAGCAAGTAACTGATTTCTATTCAATGAACCTTATTTATTCTATAATGAATATTATTATTCTGGTAACATAAGTGTTTAAGTAATCCACCTATAATTTTTGTGGCTTAATTTTGATAAATCTTTTTCAAAGTTAATTTATTTTGATGTACGTTTTTGTTGACAGTTAAAGAACTCGTAATTCAAAATGGCGACAAAGGGCGGTTTGAAGAAGATCGCCGATGAGGAGAATGAGGAGAGATTCGGCTATGTGTTTGCTGTGTCTGGTCCCGGTCAGTATAATATACTAGTTAACAGATATAAAGCAATAGCTCAGCTCCAATCTGTACTTGCATAGAGTAGTCAAACACATAGTAACAGCGTTAAGTATAACAGTAGACTTTTAATGATGGAACAATAAAATAATGTTACATTCATGTGCACAGTCGTAACGGCGGAGAAGATGTCCGGTTCCGCTATGTACGAGCTGGTGCGTGTGGGTTACAATGAACTGGTGGGCGAGATCATTCGTCTTGAAGGCGATTTAGCCACAATTCAGGTAAATATCGTCAAAAAATAATTGATAAAAGATTGGTTTTAATGTTTTTATTCTAGTTTTCCTGAAATTGTAGCAGTAGTTAAGTAATGATATTGTAATGATGTATAGGTATACGAAGAAACATCAGGTGTAACAGTCGGCGACCCCGTGCTGCGAACTGGCAAACCCTTGTCTGTGGAACTGGGTCCCGGTATCCTGGGCTCCATCTTTGATGGTATCCAGCGGCCCCTGAAGGACATCAACGAGCTGACACAGTCCATCTACATCCCCAAGGGTATCAACGTGCCCAGCTTGGCGAGAGAAGTCGACTGGGAGTTCAACCCCCTCGGTGTTAAGGTATCAAGCGTCAAGCAAATTTATGTTTGTGTCAGCTTTGCAAAGAATCATTAAATGAAATTAACCAATAAAATAAGAGTAAGATACAAGAATATATTAATGTCACTCTGAAATAAACTATATGACTATTGTATTATAGTAAGTAATGTAACGTAAATAGAATAATATATAATAGTAGACCTGTGTTAATGTATCTGTGTCTTAGTTTAAAATGTTAAACCTTTTACACGTCAGGTTGGGGCTCACATCACCGGTGGAGATCTGTACGGTATCGTGCACGAGAACACGCTGGTGAAACACAAGATGCTGGTGCCTCCAAAGGCCAAGGGTACAGTGACATACATCGCGCCAGCGGGCAACTACAAAGTTACTGTGAGTGTAACACTACCTTTCATACAACATTGTTTTCGTAAATAGATTTCGGTCTAGATTAGTCAAGCGATTAGTCAATAATTAGGTTTTTCATGATGATAGGTAATCAATCCTCGTTAATAAGAGTATGTATGTGTCAGGATGTGGTGCTGGAGACGGAGTTCGACGGTGAGAAGGCGAAGTACAGCATGTTGCAAGTGTGGCCGGTGCGCCAGCCTCGCCCCGTCACAGAGAAGCTGCCCGCCAACCACCCCCTGCTCACCGGACAGCGGGTGCTCGACTCACTCTTCCCGTATGTATCAACACTTCAAACTTATCACTACTTTTCCACAATTTTATAATTCGTTAAGTATTGTTTACATCTTTAAATCTTAGTTCTGATAACAATTGCTTTAAAATATTTAAATAAGATAATTTGATTTGAAATTATTTAGTTTGCAATGGCGCTAGTGTCGTGAAATGGCGTTAATGTGCCAACATCAGTCTTTATGTTTTTATAACAGTATAATTTTGTGTTGTGTGATGCAGATGCGTGCAGGGCGGTACGACAGCCATCCCCGGCGCTTTCGGTTGCGGCAAGACTGTCATCTCTCAGGCTCTCTCCAAGTACTCCAACTCTGACGTCATCATCTACGTCGGTTGCGGCGAGCGAGGTCAGCTCACCTGCCATCTTCTATATCTCTTCTAAATTCACATTGCTTGTAGTTTTACGTCTAATAGAAAAACGACTTTAAAGGTTTCTTCTCTATAAATTTGTCTAAAATTGTTTTAATTTTTTTGCATTGTCGTTCTATTTATTATCAAAGTTAATAAAATAAACCATAATAACACTTCTAAATTGACTTTGGAAATAAACATTTGTAATGATTGTTTGTGAAGGTAACGAGATGTCAGAAGTACTGCGGGACTTCCCCGAGCTGACTGTGGAGATCGAAGGCGTCACGGAGTCCATTATGAAGCGCACAGCTCTCGTCGCCAACACCTCCAACATGCCTGTGGCTGCCCGAGAGGCCTCCATCTACACCGGTAACGAACACAAACACACGCTAAATATAACAACATTAATCCACGATTCTAGCAGCAAGATGAAAAAAGTAATGCAACAAAATCTTTTTGCATTTAACATTAAAATTGTTCTAGAATAGTTCCTAGCTTCGCGTACGATATAGTACTAAGATGAGTATAGTTTTGTAATACTAGTTGTGATCTTGCAGGTATCACACTGTCGGAGTACTTCCGTGACATGGGGTACAACGTGTCGATGATGGCGGACTCGACGTCGCGTTGGGCGGAGGCGCTGCGTGAGATCTCGGGCCGGCTGGCGGAGATGCCGGCCGACTCGGGCTACCCCGCCTACCTGGGCGCCCGCCTCGCCTCCTTCTACGAGCGCGCCGGCCGCGTCAAGTGCCTCGGCAACCCCGACAGGGAGGGTCAGTTCCCTTGTACAACACGACGCCCGCGCCTACACACGCGCCCACACACGCGCCTACACGCGCGCCCACACGCGCGCCTACAACACACGCGCCCGCTTTACCTCCGTTAAATATAGTTTGAACATTGTGAAACTTAAAGTGTAATGTTGTCAGGATCCGTGTCTATCGTGGGCGCGGTGTCGCCGCCCGGTGGTGACTTCTCGGACCCTGTCACGTCGGCGACGCTGGGTATCGTGCAGGTGTTCTGGGGTCTGGACAAGAAGCTCGCGCAGAGGAAGCACTTCCCCTCCATCAACTGGCTCATCTCATACAGGTACATACATCTTCTAGAACATGCTACAACTTTTGCTTTAAATTTTGTCATGAATTTATTAAATATTTTTTTCCCAGCAAGTACATGCGCGCGCTGGATGACTTCTATGAGAAGAACTACCCAGAGTTCGTGCCACTCAGGACAAAGGTCTGTACATATGAGATGTATAAACAGTTGTTTGTTATTTTATTGTGACTAGGAGTTTGCAATGCGTGTACGTTTGTGTGTGTGCAGGTGAAGGAGATCCTGCAGGAGGAGGAGGACCTGACGGAGATCGTGCAGCTGGTGGGCAAGGCTTCGCTCGCGGAGACCGACAAGATCACCCTCGAGGTCGCCAAGCTGCTCAAGGACGACTTCCTGCAGCAGAACAGGTACACCGCACAACACTGCTAACTGCCTCACTCAAGTGATCCTAATTTATGCGTTATAAAATGATAATATTTAAATTGTGTGTTGTTTGTTTATAAAGATGTAGTATTGATGATTGTCGTTGTGTTGTTCAGCTACTCTGCGTACGACCGCTTCTGTCCGTTCTACAAGACCGTGGGCATGCTGAAGAACATGATCGCGTTCTACGACATGTCGCGGCACGCGGTCGAGTCCACCGCACAGTCCGACAACAAGGTCACCTGGAACGTCATCCGCGACGCCATGGGCAACGTCCTCTACCAGCTCTCCTCCATGAAGTTCAAGGTACGACACGACACCGCACCACCACTACACTATACGACAAATACAAAATGTCTACTTTGTATGGCTGCATGACATACATGTTGTTTCCCGCAGGACCCAGTGAAAGACGGCGAGGCTAAGATCAAGGCTGACTTCGAGCAGCTGCTGGAGGACATGTCGGCCGCCTTCCGCAACCTCGAGGACTAGATGTCCTCCTCCCCCTCCCCCTCCAACATCCGCGCTCCTGTTTCACTTAGTTCTAATTCAACTCTTTTGAGTGTGTAGCGTTATGAAACATATTCTATAGATGTATCGTGATTCTATTCCGCCATCTTTACTGTTAGCTCCCGCGCCCTGCGCCCCGCGCCCTGCGCCCCGCGCCCTGCGCCCTGCGCCCAGCGCCCAGCATCGCGCGCCATTGTACATACGATCAGCTCGAGGGCGCCGCTAGTTGTTATTTATATGATTATATAATTAAATATTGCTATTTATGTGAAATTCGTTAATCAATGTGAGTCGTATCGAGCCCCAGCATTCCACGGCGAGCACGTCTCCGGCACGTCGCCGCCACGTCGCCGCCACGTCGCCGCCTCGTCGCCGCCACGTCGCCGCCACGTCGCCGCCACGTCGCCTCTCCAGTATTATAATGGCGGTTGTACAAATAAAGCACTCGATAAATTATTATATCTAGCTGTTTGCAGTTACGTGTTGAGGTGACGAAAGTTATATTATAAATATAATAAAAATATTATGTTAAATTAATGTTGTCTTTTATTTTATGCTTCAATAAAACATTTGAAACATACAGACTGGGTTATTTCATCCGGTGGGCATAAGTCGAGCTCACCAGCGCCCTCCTGACAATGTCATAAAGTGACACGGTCCTGTTCGTCATGTATGTTTTCTGATAGAACTATACGCGTCTCATCGTGCCAGATATCCTTGCTTGACTATACCTAACCCACACACACTGCATCGTAGTGTGTGTTTAGATATCTCCAGTTGTAATCCAGCGTTGATGTTGATCGCTGGACTGGCATAATTTAAACCTGATATAAAGCTTATGAACCTGAATGGCGGTGTAACCCCAGCCACTTGCAAAATGTATCGAAAGTATTAGTCAAAGGTATGTTTCTAATGATCATGGAAATAGGCTGCCTAGTGTAGGGAACTTTTGATTACATTGCTGAAGTTAACCTTTTCGCGGCCCAACGAAATACAAAAAAGTTTAAGTACTCCTAACAAGGAGGTGTTGGCATTATCAGAAAACGTTATCAAGAAAAAAATATGAAAGAACGACAACTTTCAATTTAATTTGTCAATGACTGACAGAAGATTTACTATGTCAATCGTAAATCATATTTAAATTAAACGATTTTGAATTTCTAGCTAGTGGTACATAAGGAAACAAAGATGAGGAGAACATACCGGCGGCTCGATGAGCCTAACATGAGCGACAGCTCCCTGCTGCTCAAGGTCGAGGACCTCATCTCCATGGCGCTTGGCCCCGAGACTGTGAGTACCCTGAGAGCACGCAGTCTTGAGAACGGGGCACCTGTGGCCGTGAGAGATGCACATGCATGCCCCGAGAGTGGAGCACCCCCCTCTGGGCATTCCCCCTCTTCCTAACATGCGTCTCCTCCATGCCAATCGCTTATAACTTTGTATAATTTTATCCCAATTTCTAATGGTATGATCACAATATTCTTCAGGTTCATTTAATACGGTTATTTTTTCAATTTGTTTCTTTTGTCGACAGCAAAACTTAGTGAATTTTAAGCACATCCAAACAGTGCTATTTATGTTGGCCCGCCAGCTGCGCATGCTCGAACAACAAGTTGAAATCAGGCTTTTTGAGTCTGAAGAGGAAATGATTCCTGAAGTGAAGAAAAGCGAGAAAAAGATTAGGAAAAGAAAGACGACAGTTCAGGATCAGTCTGGTAGAAAAGATACAGGTTTAGATAAAAAAGGAAAGAAACAGAAAGATACCGACGAAACCGATGAGGATACGGAAGTCTCTCGAAGAAGTACAAGGAAAAAAACAGTAAAAGGTGACGAAAAACAAAAAAAAGAAACTGAGAAGACATCAGATAAAGAAAAGAAACCGACCGACAAAGACATTAAACCGATCGAGAGAGAAAAATCTCCGGGCGATAAGAGAGCTCTTACCGATAAAGACATAACTTCTAGCGATAAAGAAAGAGTAACGACTTATAAAAAAGTCCCTGAAGACAAAGGTAAAGTTGCTGGCGAAAAAGAAAGATTAGCCGCTATTAAAGAAAAGGCCGACCAAGAGAAGAAATATGCGGAAAAAGAAAAGGTAAGATTAAACAACCCTGTACGTGTATTCAGACAGGGATTTTAACATTTGAAATGTTGACCACAAAAAAAATCTGTAGAAAATGCGCTTATTATAAAGTAACTTATTATTATTTTGGTCGACTGTACACACACTGTTCACACAATTTGTAGTAATGCTTTGACTTAAGTATGTCCTAGCATATTTGCGATAAAACGTAGATTCCTTAACAATTTGATTGTTGCAGAAACAGAGAATTAAGGCTGGTATCTCCGATTCAAGCATTGATTACAGAGGTATTTCTATTTGTCTTCTGTATTATATATGAATAAATATTGAAAAACCGTTCCTTGGCAAATAAAATAATATTCATATTCTCCGTCTTCTTGCCTCATATTTAATTTTACCTTATGTAGGGGAAAGCACTAGACACTCACTCAGTGATATAGATTTATTACTCACAACTCACAAGAACAATTCACAATAAATGGAACAACTCAAAAAATCTTAAATTAATACAAAGTATGTTCAAAATAGTTACACCAAACCATATTGCGTTTCGTTATCGAACAGCGCCATCTAGTTGTGTAATCGTTACTAACACACTCCCCCCGGAAAGGACGATAGTCCTTTAAACATCAGGTAATGGGCATAGTTTCCCAACAGCTCTCGTGTAGACTCCTGCCTTTGTTCGTACATCATAAGTTCTCGTTATTCCGTCTTGGCCAGGATATTTTTTCTCGATGCGCCCAAGAAACCATTTACTAGGCGGCAGATTAGGTATTTTCATGAGGACTAAATCACCCACATTAAACTCCTTCTTTCGTTGCATCCATTTTGGTCGCTCTTGTAATCGTGATAAATATTCGACATGCCATTTTTTCCAAAAGGATTGCATCATCTTTTGTAGAAGTCTCCATCGTGTTAAATTGTGAATTTTGAAATCAGTTAAATCTCGCTCAGGAACTGTGATCAGTGATTCGCCAACCAAAAAATGTGCTGGGGTTAAAGGTTCAAAATCATCAGGATGATCACTCATGGGAGAGAGCGGTCGCGAATTTAGGCACGCCTCGATTTGGACGAGGACGGTGTACAACTCCTCGAAGGTAAGTGTTGCCTCTCCTATTGTTCTCTTTATGTGATATTTTATAGATTTCACTCCGGCCTCCCATAATCCTCCGAAATTTGGTGATCCAGGTGGAATATAACGCCATTTGGTAGATTTGGAATCTAGTAGTGATTCAAGATCTTTTGGTATGGATGCCTTCCCTTGGTGCCACATCTCTAAAATTTCTTTACTGGCAGCGACGAATGTAGTTCCATTATCGCTCCACATCTCTCTACATGGACCTCTTCTTGATATGAAACGTCTGAATGCAGCCATGAACGCATCCACGGTCATGTCACTCACTATCTCTACGTGTATAGCCTTTGTAGCTATGCATATAAATAATGCGATGTAGCCACGATAGGATTTTGCTCCTCTACCCTTGCTCATACGTACATTTATAGGGCCTGCAAAATCAACTCCACTTATAAGAAATGGTCTCGATGGAGTAACACGACACTCTGGCAAATCTCCCATCATCTGTGTAGTGTTATTGGCGCGTTGTCTCGAACAAATCATGCAATTTCTTACAAATCGTTTTACAGTATTGCCTGCATTTATCAACCAGTATTTGCCACGTAAGTATGACAACATTAATTGTGGCCCTCCATGTAGCGTATTAAAATGAGCATCTGCCAACAATAATGGTAAAAGTACATTAGTTTTTGATATAATTACAGGATGTTTACTCTGATACTGAATGTGAGCGTGCTTTAGGCGACCTCCGACTCTTAACACTTCGTTCTCATCCAAGAACGGTATTAACGATAATAAACCACTTTTCTTTTGTAGAGGTAAGTCCCTTTTCAAATTCTCAATTTCATCTCTAAACTCTATGCCTTGTGACAACTTTAAACAAACGGTAAGTGCTTCTTCTCTTTCCTCAAAATTTATAAATGATGTATTAACCTTGTCTTTATTTTTCAGGTGCAGCCATCGTCTACAGTATGCTATCACCGTTATTAGTTTTCTCAAAGAAGAATATTTAGTTAATAAGGTAAGTATTTCCCCATCTTCTGATTCTTGCGACTTAACTGTCATACAAGAAACTGTTTCTTTTAGCTCCAATGTAGTAGTTGGTACTTCACAGGTAAGTCCTTTTATATATTTATCTTTTAGAAATAATGGACCTTGCCACCACAACTCATGAGATTTTAATTTTTCAGGCGCTACTCCTCGTGATGCTGGGTCAGCAGGATTCTCTTTTGTAGGTATGTAAGACCAATTTGGTTTGAAAGTATTTGATATTTCAATCACTCTATTTTTTACATATGGTTTCCATCTATTGGGATCGCCGTTAATCCAACATAGAGCTACTTGTGAGTCGGACCAAGCGTAAGTATGTGTCTCATCAACTCTCAATGCGGTCGCGACATGTTTTAAAAGTTTTGTCAGCAGAAGAGCAGCACATAACTCTAAACGTGGGAGCGTTACTTGTTTCAAAGGTGCTACCTTGGTTTTTGACATTATCAACGAAACCTTGACTTCATCATTGGATTGCACAACTCTAGCATAAACCACTGCGGCATATGCTGCTGCTGAAGCGTCTGAAAAACCATGCAACTCAAATCTACGATGTGTATTCGAGGTACCCATCCATCTATCTAGATTTATTTCAGAAAGTTTGTTTAACTGAGAATTGTATTTGCACCATTCATTGCGTAGTGAGGCTGGTAGCTCATCATCCCATGCAATCTTTGCTGCCCACAGTTTTTGCATGAAGATTTTTGCAACAATAATACTCGGTGCTAGCCAACCCATAGGATCGAATAGCGAAGCTATTACGGTAAGTACCTTTCTCTTAGTTATAGTTGGTTCAAGTGATATTTTCGAATTGTGGACTGTATTTGTTATTTGTAACTTGTCAGTTAGTGTATTCCAGTTAATACCTAACGTTTTTATTGTATCCTTTATGTTTGGCTCTATCTCATTTTTTGATATTCCTTTACTATTCTCGATCTCTTCCATAAATTGTTTACTATTAGAATTCCATTTTTGTAGCTCAAAACCTCCTGATTGTAGTATTTTTGTTACTTTACTTTGAATGTCGATTGCAGTTTCTACATCGCAACTTCCTGATAAAATGTCATCAACGAAAAAATCGTTAAGAATGGCTCTCTGTGCCTCTTGTAATGACTCATCCTTATCTTCGTCTATCGCTACTTGTTTAAGTGTTTTTATTGCAAGGTATGGCGCACATGCTGTGCCAAATGTGACTGTTAGCAATCTATAATCTTGTATTTCTTCTTCATCACTAAAACGCCATAATATTCTGTGATAATCTGTATCTTCCTTTCTCAGTCTTATTTGTCGGTACATTTTGATTATGTCCGCTGTAAAACAAATCTTATGCATTCTCCATCTCATCAAAATACTACGTAATTCTTCTTGTAGCGGTGGACCAATTAATAACTCATCATTAAGTGAAATATTGTTGCTTCCTTTACTCGAAGCATCAAACACAACTCTAACTTTTGTCGTAATTTTATCTTCTCTCAATACTGCATGGTGCGGTAGGTATATGGCTCTCTCGTTTCTCGTTCTCTCTTTTACCGGCTCCATGTGGTTTAAAGTAAGATACTCTCTCATGACTTTATTATACTCGTGACTCAGTTTCTCATTTTGTGATAGTTTTTTCTCTAATCTCTTGAATCTGTCTAGTGCTCTATCATAAGTATGTGTAGGTAGGTTAGGTTCGTCGTGCTTAAACGGAAGTGCGACGACGTATCTTCCATTAGGTTCTCGTGTTGTAGTATTCTCGTAAATTTGCTCAGCTCGTAACTCTTCTAATGTATAAGGTGTGTTAGTTCTAATCTCTACATTCTCGTCTTCCCAAAATTTCTCTAACATTTTCTCTAGTTTTACGTTTAAGTGCATGCTTACTACCCTTGTTATATTTTCTTTTATACCTCCTCCAGATATTATCCAACCAAACTGTGTTTGTTGGGCGATCGGTGACCCTTCACTTCCTTTAATTACTCCACTCATTATTATTTCAGTAAATACATTAACTCCTAAAAGTAAATCTATGGTACCTGGCTCCATGTATGTTGGATCTGCCAAAGTTAAATGTTGGATGTGAGAGAAAGATTCATTATTGACTCTTGAAGTGGGTAAAAAGTCTGTGATTTGTTTGACCACAAATGCTGTACAATTAATTTTGAATGCATTTGTAAGTCTCGAAGTGATCTCCAACTCAGTAGCATATTTGATTTTTGATGTCATCTGATCTACACCACTCACCTCGCCTTCCACTATTCTTCTGCGTAATTGTAAACGTTTCACAGTTATTTCATTTACAAAGGACTCTTGTGAACATGGATCTATAAGAGCTCTTAAGGTTTGAGGTCCTTTACTGGTTTCGATGTTAACCAGTGCAGTTGCTAACAATGCAGTTTTTCCTTGTACTGTAAGATGTGATCGAATAACTCTCGATTCAGATGTAGTTGGAGTCTCTATGGTTGTATTTTCAGACCTGTTAGGCTCACTCTCTCTTTCTGTTCTGGTTAGATGAATTAATGTATGATGTCTCTTTCTGCACTCATGACAGGACGCTTTGGATCTACAATGTATGACACTGTGACTCGGTGATAGACAATTAAAACATAATCTCGCCTTCTGTATATGTTCAATTCGTTTGTTCACATCTAATTTCGCAAATTCTGTACATGCTGATAAGCGGTGATCTTGTCTGCAAAATGGACAATGTTGAGTATTATTAGTTGTAATAAATGATTTTGTTTTTGAAGGGTTTCTCTCTCTTGACACATTAACTGAAGTAGTATACATCATCTCATAGACTCTAAATCTTGTCTCTAGGAATTTCGTAAATCTCTCAAAAGTGGGTAAGATATCTATGGGTAACTCTCCAACATCTTCTTCCCATTGCTTATGTGATTCATCGTCTAGCTTATTGACTATCAAATGGATAACTATGATGTCCCAGTTTGTGGTTTCCACATCATTGTTCTTTAAACTGTTAAGACATTCGACTGTCGTATCCAATAAATCTTTGATTCCTTTGGCTGTACTTTGGGATAGTTTTCTTTGGTTAAAAAGTCGATTTAGTATAGTTTGAACTATTATTCTTCGATTATTATATCTGTTATTTAAAGTCTCCCATGCAACATCGTAATTTCTTTCCGTGATTTGTATTTGTCTTAATAATTGCTCTGCCTCACCGGTTATACTTGATTTTAAATAATGTAGCTTTTGAACTTTGGATAAAGAATGATTGTTATGTATAAGTGTTGTATACAAATCTCTAAATGTACTCCAGTCATGATAATTTCCAGAAAATTGGGGTATATTAATTTTTGGTAGCTTGACTTCCTGTGTTTGGTTATGTGTTATATTTTTCTCTAATGACTCAGGTGCTTTCTCACTTAACTCCTCTATTTTCTCTAACATGTCTGATTTTGTGTTGATATATTCCTCTTCTCCTATGCCAAACATGTCTATAGCGAAATATTTATGCTTTAATTTTTGCTCAGAAGTAGCTATTTGCACTATAGAAAAATGTGTTGTTCTGAATTTCGTCCAATACTCATTTAACGTCTCAACTTTCACTTGAATTGTAGCAACCTTTAATCGTGACTTAGAGGATTTTCTGAAATTTACTCCGATTTTTTTAATAAGTTCTAAAGTAACTTCTTGTTCTGATATAAAGGTCTCCATTTGCAATGTTATTGATTCACTTGGAATTTACAAAATTTTCTAAGTCTAAATTTATTGAAAATTTTTCTAAGTCCAAATTTCTTCAAATTTTTCTAAGTCCCTTGATCAGTGAACTTGAAAATTTTACAAGTCTCGTAATCAGTAAAATATTCTAAGTCGCTTATAAGCGAAATTCTCCAAATTATTCTAAGTGTTTGAATAATCGAAAGTCCCGTTATCTCAAAATCCGGCGTAGATTGGACCATAAAATTGTAGGGGAAAGCACTAGACACTCACTCACTGATATAGATTTATTACTCACAACTCACAAGAACAATTCACAATAAATGGAACAACTCAAAAAATCTTAAATTAATACAAAGTATGTTCAAAATAGTTACACCAAACCATATTGCGTTTCGTTATCGAACAGCGCCATCTAGTTGTGTAATCGTTACTAACACCTTATGTAAAATTCAAACAACTTTTTTTATTTTAACAGATCGAAAATCTCGGAAAGCAACAGGTACGATGATATTTATTAGTTTTTTTTTAAAGTATTTAGATAAATGGAGACTAGAAATATCTACGGGAATAAAGTATAAAGAAGAATATTTGTCTGGACTAATGATGTTAGGTCGGGCTCATGTCGGCAACGTGGAGGTGGTAACGCAGGCGGAGTTCGCGGGACTGGAGGCGGCCGTGCGGCAGCTCGAGCAGCTCGCCAGCCAGCCGGCCGGCCTCACCATGCCCGATAACCAGACGCTGCGCGACGACTTGCTGCACGGTACCGCCTCCCTCACCGAGGCCATGCAGACAATGCAGGTCGGCCTACACCACATGTGCCATCATACAGAGACTTATCGTATAGAATTTTCTTTTCCGGTCTCTTCTTTTACTTTAACTTTGTTTGCTGTAAATCTTTAATTATTCAGGGTATCGTTATTAGGTGAATGCGCGCGTGCAAGCGGCGGAGGAGGCCATCGGGCGCATGGCGGGCCTGCTAACGCAGCTAGCGGCGGCGGGCGCTCTGCCGGCACAGCTTGCGGCCGCCCTGCGGGATGGCCGGCTCGACCTTTCCGCCCCAGGACTTGAAGACTTGCAACAGGTTAGTACGTCATTGCTTTTTACTCGTTACGTGACGGGACACAACGTAAAGTAAACGTAAACGATGTAGGAATAACAAATGATTTCGTTTTTAAGGTGTTATTGAGGCAACGAAAGGAGACCGGGAGGGCGACGGGGGCTTGGCAGACGGCACCGGAACCTTCGGACATTGAAATGCGCCCCACTGGCAGGGCGTTGGGCACAATGGTGGCCGAGCGCGCCGTGGATGCCGCGACGGAGCCCGCCGCTCCGCCCGAGCCCGAGCCGGCGCCGGCGCCGCCGCCTCCCGCACTACCCACTGACTATCGCGATCCCTCTGCGCCTGTCACAGTCATGGAATTCGAGTAAGTGGCTTAGATTGTATTATGTGAGTACGGCCGGAAGTATGAGCAAATGAGGTGGAAAGTAACTAAGAAGTGGACGAATGAAAAGCGGTGCAAACAGGTGGGCAAGGTGAGATGTAAAGAGACTCGTGATTTCCCCATTAATTGTTTAATGTTTAATAGGGTGCTGTGACCTCACTCCCAGTACTTTTGTTTAGTGTCGGTGCTAATAGGTACAGATATCGGATCATGCTACCGATTTTTTGACACCATTGTTCACTCGCAGCGACATCGTGACGGCGCTGAAGAAGCAGATGTCATTCGACATCCAGCAGATAACGTCGAAGGCGAACGCCGCGGCAGACAACGCCATCAAAACTGCGCAGTTCGTCGGTGAGTTTTTTAAACTTGTTTTAAGATCAATTGTGATGTCATTATGAGCTGTGTGAACTTCATAGCGGAGAAGTTGGAGCCGGCGATGGGTATGGCGGAGCGCATCAACGTGCTGCGTCTACTGGTGGCAGACTACGCAGACCAGCTGAATGGCTTCGACGCAGGGCTTTCCACGCAGGTACCAAATCTTACTGCTACTTACTAGTTACCGCTTGAAAACAAGAAGAATTTATATATTTCGTACATAGTAATAAAAATTATTGAAAACAAGTCTTATGAGTGCCTAAATTCTTTCGTATTGTCAGTTTAGCCCAAGGCGATGAAATGTTTAGTTTTACTATTTTATCATAAGCTTCTAATAATTTTATTACTTAGTTCTACTTTTCGGTATATAACATTCCATTAGCAGATATATCGATGCAGCAGCTCATCTGTTTTCCAGATGCAAGGATTCCAGGAGCAGATGAACCAGATGAGGTCAGAGCTGAAGAGCGGGCTGGAGCAGTTGGCTGCCGTCAACAATAACACAGAGGCAATAGGTTGCTCGCTTGCTTACAACCTTTTACAAATGTGTTCCTTGAAGTTTAGGCGTATATTGACAATCGCGATGTGGCCTAAACAAAATATTTGATGTGTAGCGCTGGCCGAGTTGACGGCGCGGTACGAGGACATGGTGGTGGGACTGGACGATGTGAACACCACGCACCAGGCGCTCTACACCGTGCAGACCAAGCTCAGCGACGAGCTGCGCGTTAGATGCTATCTTGTCTTTTACATTTAAAATTCGATATTTCATAGTTTCATTTAATACAGTGTAAAATCTATCTCTGGAGATAGTTTGGGACCACTTTTGTTAAGATTCCAGAAGTATTCCTCTTTTTGGTAAGATAAAACTACCTGTCATTTGACTATTTGTTTCTGAAACATACTCACTATGTTGCAGAATTTGGTAGAAAGTGTTGAGATGTTGCGAGACCAAAAATCCGATCGAGACGAGGTTCTAGACGCGCTACGGGATAAGGTGAGTTCAGTCTGCATAGCCATTACCACTTCGATTCTTACGTTTGTTCGAGCCCTAATAACGTTGTGTTTCAATGAACTCTTTGTGAAGGCGGACATTTCGCGACTGGCCGGGCTGCTGACCGAGGAGAAGTTCGCGGAGGCGCGCGCGGAGCTCGAGAGAATGCTCGATATCTGCCAGGACAAGTTCAAGAGGCAGGACAAGACGTGGATCGTGAGCCTGCTCCCAAATCTATTAAAATTATCCTGACATTAGTGTAACTTGTACTGTGAGACTGCATTAATTGGTGGTATGCAGAGGGCGCTCGAGGACATCGAGAGGGCGCTGGAGACGAAGGCGGGGCAGACGGAGCTGATGTCGGGCCGGCAGGACGTGGAGACGCGCCTGCAGGAGCTGCACGACCTGCTGCAGCGCCTCGAGGAGCAGCTCGGGGACCCGATCGTAAGATGAAGCTAATAAAGAGCGCTCGTGCTTGTTACTGAGCGCAGGACATAAGTGTATCTCTGCGGGGTACCGCAGGCGGCGCTGCTGATGCGGCGGCTGGGGCGCGGCGCGGTGTGCGGCGCGTGCGGCACGAGCGCGCTGATGACGCCCGGCGTGCCCGCCCAACCCCCCGAACTGCCCGCGCTGCCCACCTCGCGCCCTCCGCCGCCCGCCGCGCGCCCCCCTCCGTCCGCCGCGGACGCCGACGCCACGCACGTCTGCGTGCCGCATCCGCACGTCGAGGATGTCAAGTAAATATTTATTTCTAATTTATTCCTGTGTATAAATTCGTTGGAACACAGTTTGTCAGATGTAAAGTGTGTGATTGTGTCGTGGTGCAGGATGCCGGTGAGGTGGTGCGGCGGCGAGCACACGATCCGCTCGCAGCTGCGCCAGCGGGCTCGACCCCTGCCGCGCAACCCGCTCACCACACGGCCCTACATCGGCCTTGGTTTCGACGGAAGGGTAATCATTATACATTCCAGTTTACCGTTTAATTTCTTAGGAAATAAGCCATGTTGTAACTCTCATATGGACATAGTGACCGACAAAATAACCACATTGATTGTCGCCGTATGGAAATATCAATGTTGTCTTGAGTGTTGAGGCGAGCGACGTGTGTTCCGCAGACGTACCACATGGAGGAGGAGCTGCAGCCGTGCGTGGAGTGCAACGAGCTGCTGGAGCCGCGCAAGGACGCAGCAGGGGGCGAGGAGGGCGCGGGGGACGCCTAGCCCTGGGCCCGCATCACACGCCCCGCCTCACGCCCCGCCACACGCCCCACTACAAGCATTCCCTACAATACTTTGTTACACGTTTAATTTCGTTCTTTTGGTTTTATACATTTTTAGTTTATATTCTTATTGGAAGTTTTATTTGGTATTTGATGTCATTAGGTTATTTATTATTATATATAATATTGTTGCGCGCCGGCCATTATTGGCTTGTATTTGTTGTTGACGAGGTGGCGCGGGACTTATTAGATCGTTTAGATATAAAATATAGATTTTTTATATACTCAGCGGTGAAGAGTAATAATATATACTCGTATGAAAATAAATAAAACTATACGAATAAAATTCTAATATATTTTTGCATTCCCTCCGCTGTAGTACTGCGCGATCTCTTGTAATCATTAAATCATGTGTGTGTGTGTGTGCGCGTGTGTGTGTCAGCTGGCTAAAGTAATAAAATATCGTTATCACGTTGTTTATTACTTTAATAGCCCTTTATAATAAAGTTAACTTGTAGTACTTATGCCAGGCATTCACGATCGCTGCACATCTTATACAGATGGTCCACAAAGAACTGGAGTAGTCAATAATTTTTAAATAAATGGCAAAGTGTAGTAAAGAGTAGGAAGGGTTAGGTCAACTGGTTAAATCCAGTAAAACAATCACTAATTGAATAATAAGTTTTATTTCATAAAAATAAATAAATAATTTACATTTTACACAAAGCATATTTACATCTTACACGCGCTATCAAATAATTTAAATAAATACTTTTAATATTATTATCATTATAATTTATTGTCTTCAATTATTTATTGGAATTAAAAAAAAATAGAATATATTTTAAAATTACAAAAGTTACAAAGAATTTTATAAACATTTGAATTAAGTTTCTATTTTTTCATAATAATGTTCAAAGATTCTTTCAAAACTTGCAATTTAAAAGTTCTTTTAAATAATGGACAGATAGATAGCATTTGATTGTAAACTGTAACTAAGGTTGGATTAATTTCATTTGCCGCGGGTTTCTGATACCAAAATGCCTGATTAAAACAAACATCTGTTTGAAACTAAATACTTTTACGCGGAGTTGTTTGCCTCGAAAACCCACGGTTATTGTAATTATTAAATCAAATCAAAAATATTTTTTCAATCGTTCCATCATTAATAGTGTTGTGACGTCATAACGCAGTAACCACGTTTGACCACTAATTTAATGAAGGTATAACTGTAGGTAACTAAACTTTTTGTACTTTACAATGAAAGCATACTTCAATTAACTGGCAAAGTATAAATAATATAGCAACTATGTGTCCTTATTATATATAATACAGCAAATATTGCTTACGCTATATAAATCACTACTCACACGAATATCTTACATACTAACACAAAGCGTACGTGTATATTACTTCTAGGATAGTATATAATGTGTACCTCACAATAATATAACAGTTAAACAGTTAACTGAAAGTTAAATATTTAATTTGTTTACAATTCTTATCTTTCTTGAAAAGATATTGATAAAACGTGGTTTTTAAATATATTTAAATAAATTAAATAATTATTAATCAATGAATAGTTTCTTCTTGGGTAGACTTTTTACAGTGCACCTGTTTAGTGAGTTTGTTTAAATTGTCTAACAGTACGTACAAACCCTAATTCTAATTCGACTATAATTTGCACACACAGGATTCCATAAGGTTTACATTTTCAACCTGAAATAATTTGCCATTTTTGGCATTTAAAAGTTCGTTATCAAAAATAATGCACAGAGATGTCTGCTTCCAGACAAAGAAATAAATTCGCTACTGCATTTGACTTATTTGTATTATAAGAGCCAAAGGGTTAGTAAATAAATTTCCTCGACTGTATTTAAGTAGCAGCTATGTCTGCTAGTGACAGTGCTGTGGATGGTATTGTGTCAGTGGCGGTCGCAGAGGAACCTCGAGCAGTCGTGGTCGCGGCTGGCGGCCATCACGTCGCCCAATTGGTGCGCCACCGCCGCCGCGCCGCCGCTGTTGCCGCGCGAGATCCTGGAATCATTTAAATTCAAATATTAGACGTATTAAATATAAAATATATTTTGTATGGACAAGTGCTAAGTCATCGGCAAACCCCCATCCCATTTTTAAACTATAGTTATTTTTCTTAGTCATCTTTCACCTGTTATCGTGATATAAGCGAGAATCGTCAGTATTATCTGACTGTTTATATAATGTTTTATTTAATAATTCGCGGGGTCGATCTGGCGCGGCACGGCGCTGGCAGAATGTGGCCGGACCACTTTCACCGGACATCGCGTGCGGCGCGCCATTGCGTAACATTTTCAGCTGTGACAGGACTTTTGGCGGCAAACTGTCTGACTCGAGCGGGAAAACTAAACAATTTGTCAAACACGAAATCATAACATCACAGTGGTATTAAAGTTGTGATTTGTTTGGTTAAATAAAAACCCTTGGTTAAATAAAAACACCTAGCTTTTTCCCGTGACTTTTCTCGTAATTAACAAAAACTTAGTAGCTATGCGTTCTTCTAGACTATGTTCTATTTCTTTACGTAACTTCATCAAGATCCGTTCTGTTTCGTTTTGGAGATACGCAATAACAAACATTCATCTAGCTAAACGTTTGCATTTATAATATGATATTAGTAAAAAGTAAGATTATACGAAAAGACAGTTGCAAATAAACAACTTTTTAAGATACAAAAAATAAAAAATAAAATAACAGCAAAAAGCCAACATCACGCGGTGTTCCCAGGCGGTCACCCATCCAAGTACTGACCGCGCCCGACGTTGCTTAACTTCGGTGATCGGACGAGAACCGGTGTGTTCAACGTGGTATGGACGTTGGCGACTACTCATCAGAAAATTATGTATTTACTCGAATCAGTGTGAATTATTTTTTAAACAAAATGCACTTTTTTATTAACGAAATACGTCATATTTATGAGTCATGGTTTTCGTTTCGACTCATTAAAACTTAAAAAACAATATTTACTTTATTGGATTAATCCGTACAGCAAATACGGAATAGTGCCCTATAAAATTAATTTGTATATTAACAGTAACTTAGTCGTACTTTCGTTAGCGTCACACTATCGCCGCGTAATTATACGCTAGCGACGAGTTTCTACAACAATTTCAAACGAGAAACTCGCTGGATAAACTGCTGGACGACTTTACCGTGTCAATGACTTCCGCTCTTGTCTGATGAATGTCAATACAGTTTACAAATGCAACAGGCGGCGCACACTTAGTGTCCGAATATATTATCTTAGTACGTAAATCATTTTAGTGTTCAAAAGAAAAGAACTAAACACGTGCCTAGCTTCGTATCAACAAAATCTAGGTTATATTCAAGATAAATTTGGCATAAAAATAGAAGAAACGCTTACGCAATCTATTTCCTACCTACGTATAATTCTGGATTCCTATTATCTAGAATAATCACTACATTGCGTTGATAGTGTGAATAATGTTATATAAAATGCGTAAAACGTTTTTACGCATTCAGAGTAAAGCGGCATAGCTTCCTCTTGCGTTTCCCCACGCCTCACTGTCCCTTTCCACAGCTTTCTTGTTTTCCCCACGTGCGCGGTGCGTCGGTTTAGCCATGTTACGTATGCACATACAAACGGACGGACGGACGCAGTTATGTGACGCCAGAGCACCGCAGAGAAAGTCCCTATCCGTCACTACCGACATGACCCTTGCAAATACTTATAACATTAAATAAAACAGCAAACAGATCAAAATATATTAACTGGGACAATCAGAGTTTGTTTCATGTTACTTAATCTACAATTAGGTTACAATTAACAATTATGATTGTGTCAGTATGTTCTTCTTGTATTAAGTTTTAAGTTTAAAGTACTGAGATTAGTTTACTTTAAGATCATCAGGTGAATTAAACTATCTTTTCTTGGAAGACGAAGGCGCGGGCTACAGCTAGTTCTATAACATTTTCCTTGTTTCACTTATAAAGCGCGATGGACCAGAAAACATTTTCCTGTTTAACTTTTTCAAAGTTCAACTTCTACTTAGCGATACACTTGCGTACAAAAGTAGTGTGTGTTTTTAATGTACGTTTTTTTTATTAATGTAAGCGAATGTAGGTTGCGAATTTTCCTCGTTTTAGTAAAACATGTACATATAATGCCTTCCTGATCCGCCTGCCGAGCAATGATATTCAAACCATGAGGCGCTTTGTTGACCAACCGTGAAAATCAAGTTTGTTGTTCGCAACACTATACTTTGTGACAAATCTATTAACTTATTTAGTATTTGAATTCTAATGATTATAGTATTTTTACAATTAAATCAAATTAACATTTTACCGTTATATAATATTTTATCGAGCTCGGTGCTCCAAATCTCTTCCGCTGTAGAGAAAGTTCACCTGCATCATTGTTAAAACCCGATATTGAGATAATTGTAGTTGTAAATGTACGAACCTAGTCATTTACTGACACAGATTTCATCTTGTGCAATGACCTATTTTTTATTAAAATAACATCAATAATAAAATAATAATTTTTTTTATTTAAATAACATCATTAGGTTTAGATAATCAAAATGTTAGATAAAGTATTGGTGTCCGAGTATTATCACATGTAATCTAATACTATATTCTATGTATAAATGTGAGTGTCCGGTGTCCGGTGTCCGGTGTCCGCGCATCATCTCGCTTGCTTTCACCGACATTGACGTTTCTCCCGAGTAGACTCGGCCCCCGTTCACTGCCACCACATCGCGTTTATGCAATGCTAGTTTGCAGAGTGTTATGCCGCGTTATGTAATTGATCGCGTCCCGAAAGCGATGGAGTGTACCGGTTGCATGACGGAGGTCGTTTTGACCTCGAGAAAGCTAGGCTAGTGCACCCGGAGACACGCGCTCCGCTTCACTATTATCACGACTGCCTTGATTGTGCACAAGATAACGAATGTCGTCGATGATATTCTTTAATTACATTACTGTACTTATAAAAGCGCAGGAGAGTTATTATTATATAGTGGTTTCATAAAGTTTTGTAAATTATGTGTAGTAACTTTACTTACATTTTTAGTAGAGATTCCATCTTTTTCTCCATGGTGAACATGGAGTCAGAGGGTTGCGAGGTGAGCACTTTGCAGAAAGTGTACTTGGCGCATTGGGAGTCGCGCCAGTCGGTGTGGCGCACAAGGTCCATGGCAGCCGCGGTCATTCCGGAGGGGCTGAGCGGCACGTCCAGCTGCTGTAGGTCCTCAGGCATGTCATCCGACAGAGCTCGTTTTACGCTGCGCCTCAGCCTGGGCGACACGTGGGCCGCATACGGCGCGCTCAAGAAGCCCAGTAGGTCGCGCTTCGCCCGACCGCCGTCGCCGCTCTCGGGCGACATCACCACGTAAACATTTTCGCTGGGCATCTTGTAGTTATCGTCGAAGAATTTTTGCGTGCTTAATATTTGTCTGTCGATATCAAAGGGTGCACCCATGAAGGCGCGCTTGTGTTCCTTTTCCATATCGTCCTCGTCCGTGTCGCCTCCGACAGCGCTTCTCATCAAGTTGGCATCGAGCAGCCTGCCCATCGCGACGGCGCCTAGGCCGAGCGCCGCACCGCCCGCCATCAGGCCCAGCGCGGGCAGCATGGCTGGCGCACCGGAGGCCGCCGCGGCGGCGACGCCTATTTTGTCTTGCGCGTACCTTTGACTTTGGATTGAGTTGGACGGGTAGAGGCCCAAGTTGTGAGAAATTTTATGGGTCGCCTCAACGATTGGCTCGAAGACGGGCTGGGTGACCTTGGCGATGGGGTCTATTATGGGCCGCGTTAGCGACTGCATCGTTTGACTCGCGGTGTTTATGGTATCCTTCATGGAGTCGGTGAATCTCTTCCAAAGAGAAGGTTCGGGCATTCGTTTTACATATCCGTAAGTGTAGGGGTACTTCGGACTGGGATTGCGTTCATAGTAAGAGAACTTGTTGTATTCGTCCTCATAGTATCTGTTACCGGAGGGTATTTTGCTCTGAGATCGCTGCTGGGTGTAGCCGATGGGCTCCATGGGATAGGGGTGGGCGCTCTTTGGAACGCTTGTGTAGTATTTCACTTTCCTAGGCAATGCGTCGTAGTTGTCGAGGCCGTCGCGAGTCGCCTTGGCCGGCTGCACTCCGAGCTCGGGGTGGGCGTATTGTAAAACGGGATTTCTTTCGTCGAAACTTAATTTAGAATTTTTAGGTGTGTAGGCTATCGAGTTGGGAAAATTAACATCTCCGGGGTGTTGGAGCATTCTTCTCTGAATGTGGTTTTCCGCGTACTCCAAGTCCCCGTGCGCCCGCGAGCTGCGGCCGCTGAAGTAGTCGCGTTTCGATTCTTGTTCGTTGATCTGCTTGATGTATTCGATAAGCTTGGAGTTGGCCACTTTCGAATTATCGGCCTTGGTGAAGGGACCGTAGTTGGATTTCAGATAATGACTATCTTTTTTTTGTTTGTACGCGTAATTTGGACTATTATTAATAGTATAAGAGCCAATTGCGTCATCTGCCTCAAACTTAACGTTGTCAAATTTAGTGAACGGCCCGTCCTTGTGCTTAAAGTTGTCCTCCTTGGTAAACGGGCCGAAGCTCTGCGAGGGCTCGGCGGCCGCTATGTCTGGATACACGTCTGCCTCGGGGATCGCTCGTGGAGGAGTATAACCTTCGGGGTAAGGAACCAGCTCACCGTTGACCACTCGCGCGTTGCGCCAGGTCTTCTTGTCGGACTCGTCGTCGGGCATTCTAATGCCGTGTATCTCCGGAATTCCATCGTCGCCGATAGACAAAATGGACCTACCTCGCTTGTTGTTGTACTTTTCTATCGCTTTCTTAATGTACGTTGGGTCTGAATTCACAATCACAGGGTCGGGCACTTTGATATTTTCACCATCACCATCAGACACTTTTGTGCTAACCACTTCAATATACACTGGGTTCCTGTCGTTTTTGATTATTGGATTATGCGGATCGAATCGGTAATTTTTGACACGTCCACCGTAATCGAGAAAACTTGAAGAAGTAATGTAAACTTTTTTGTTTTCTGTCTTCTTGTCGTTATCATATGTGGGGTAGTAGCTAGCGGTCTCTGGGTCGACGTCCGGTTTCCCTCCATCCTCTTGTATGTGGGACTCGGGGTACACGGACACCGGAGACCAATTCCCGTACTCCGCTTTTACTTCACTGAAACTTTCCTCTTTGTCACGATTCACGTAGTAATCGAAACCGGCGAGGTCGCTGTTGACAGTTCCCATGAAATTAAGTTTCCTCTGATCTCTGCCCTCCGTTTTATTCCTCTCCTCCCCCGTGGAGTTGAGGATGGTCGTCTTGACAGAGACGGTGGTGGGCGCCGGCGTGCTGGTACTGGCGTGCGTCGTCGACTTCAAGTCCTTCTTTTTGACGATAAGTTGCGTGACGTGCCCAGACTTTGTCCTCACGTTGAGGGTCTCCGTGGTGAGAGGGTTGAGACTCCGGGAGACCTTGAGCTCTGTTCTGGTTGTACGGGAGGGCAGGATGGTGGTTCGGATGGTCTTTGTGGTTGTGGTGTTGTTGTCGCCGGTGTCCGCAGCCGCGCTGAGCACGGCGCAGAACATCCACACCGTCGCACATATCCGTGTATATTTTACGGTAATCATCTGGAAAAGAAAAGGATTTTGTTAATATTTCGTATTAGAAGTTTTAAGTTTTAGAATACAGTAAAATATAATAAAGCTATAATGTTAATGTTTTCCTATATTATTTGTAAGAGGTTCCAAATTTTACTAATTGTTGTGAGTTAACTCGGCGGCAGGTTCCAAACATTTCTATGGAACATTTCCCATGTTAAATATGGTGAGATGTCAGTTCCTAAGGTACTCGAAGGCCCTCTTAGAGCATCAACTACAAACTCAAGTGTACGTATGTGAACCTATTGCTAAAGTAATACAAATATAAACTTATTAAGCTATTAAATCGTATCCATTGCGTGTCGATACCTACGCTTCCTCTTGCACGATCGTATGGAAATTAATATTCGCGTCAAATGCATTTGGTGAATTTTATTAACTTACATTTACGGGTTCTTTTTAATTTTAAAGTAATTTTACGTTGACACAAATAATTTACATACGTCATTAATGTGACGTCATCAGATGTATTTATCTAAGAGCATAATAAATGAAATCTGCTCAACACAATAACAACGTCTTGTGCGCTGTTAGCGCAAGTTTCGCGCGACGTTTTCTCCCGCGCAAACGGGTGCGTTTCCTCGCCGCTTTGGCGCTGGCGTCGCGTCGCGGTGGAAAACCATCATTATCGTCATTTCACACGGAATATCTTTTAGAAAATCCGCATCTTATTGTTCTTGCTCATGTATTTGTTTCGGTTTTTAATGCGTAGATGAAGATTTAGTTGACTGATCGGCTGTTGACCTGAATTCATTCTACAAAAAACATCAGTAAACTTATATTGTTCTAAAATGATTGACGGACAATATCAGCTTTTTTAACTTATCCGTCTACCATCATTAAATCGTTAGTAACTGTAAGGAGCATCCATTTATTTTTGTTTGCAATTTATTGAGCAAAAGTGAAACGTCAGCAGCGTAGTGGTAAGGTGCTCGGGTGAATGCCCTGCATCCGTATAGAACACAACACATCATGAGATAAAAAACACTCAGTTTCCCTGCTTCTGGTGCTTTGTTACCCTAAAAATATCCTAATATTCAATTTATATTAATCTTACAAATACGATTGTTTGGTTGTATGTATGGATATCACCAGAACAACGTAACGGATCTCAGTATGATTGGCAGAACACAGTCGGAATGAATTGTTGAATGATTTGTTTTTTTGCAATTCAGACAGAGTCATGGGCGACAGCTAAAGATCCAATAAACAAGCTTTTAATTAAGCATTAGTTTAATATTTGTGATATTTGTGTGTCGTAGCTAAGAGAGATGTTACTATGAAGCCTAAATAGTTTCATATATTTCGCAACAGCTCCGACATTGTGTTACATATATGTATGTAGGTAGATTGTTTATTATGTGTCTTGCCCTAGATCGCTTTCAAGTTTTTAAGTGGAATTTTAAACAGATATTTAAATCCTTGCAAGTGTGTTGCAATGTATATTAATGTGGCCATGGTAAGCTAAATTAGTTTTTAGTCGTTTAAGTAAATAATTACATTACTTAGTTTCAATTAAGTAATAACGACCTACAAGCGAGGCTCTTTCAAACTACTTAATTGTTTTCATAGAATATAGTCACATATTTTTATAAACATAATTTATATTTACATACTCAATAGAACTTCTCTTCTTCTTTGGATATGGATTGGTATGAGATCCGACATTGATTTATTTTGGTCGTGACATAACTAGCTAATAGGATTTAATGAGTTTGTAAATACAACAATAACCATAGACAAGGGAGCGGCTGACATTTGGCGCGATGGCGCGGCGTGACGCGTGACGCGCCCCGGCATTGTTTGCTGATCGCGTATCGGGCCAGGATGGAGGGGAGGGGGCGCGGGACGTGAGGTTCCAACATTGTAAACGATTGCGAATGCGTTGCGAAACCGATCCGCGGCAATTCAGACTCTCTGCAGGTGTATTACATAACTATATGTATGTATGTACACTTGTCGTGCTCAAACAGACAAATTTAAAACAGTACTTTAGCGCCGAGTCGTCAAAAAAGTTTTTTTTACGTGATAGGTTATAAAAATTACGGTCTTTTTACAATTAGGTATCGCAAATGAAGATTTACTAAATGTAGAAGTACATTGTTAAATGATAAATAAGGAATACTTTTGTAATAATTAGGTCTTATGATCTGAGTTGACATAAATTAAACAAGTAGGTCAAACAAAACCTAAATGACTAACAACCAGTTAGGTCTCAAAACTGTTCCAGTTTTCCCTTTCGTGGACACGTAAATACGGAAGTATGATAATCAATGTCGGCGCGTTGCGCAACCGACGAGGAAACCGAATCGAACTGAAATAAGAAAGCATCGCATTCCGATATAATTACAAAATCGTAATGGACGCGTTTGGGCGCCGCCGTCGCCCGCACCGCGCCGCCCGCACCGCGCGCGCGCCCGTCAGGTGAAAGTGGTTGCGTCACTCCGCCGCTGCGAGTCCACTACAGATGGCGCGGCGGTCGGTGACCATAGACATTGTTTTTTAATAGAATAATCCTTCAAAACTCTAAATTTTTGTTCTGTAGATCTATATTACTATAATGTGTATAAACATTATACTTAGTATTTAAGGGCATTATTTTATTCAAGGAAGTGTCTAATCTAGTACTAGGTCAACATTATTAACCTAATAATTATTAACCTAATAACGGCAATTACGTCAGAAATATAAATGAGGGGATTATAAGCAGCAGATTGTTACAATTTTAACGACAACTGTTTTAATTTTATATCTGATATAATCATCAAAGAGTGGTAATACCGTATTGCATAGTAAATGATTAACATCTTGTCTTTAATTTAGTCGCTAAACATTGATATTATTAGAATCAAAAGAGCATTTACTTTGTAATTAGACAATCCCACGCGATCTTCACTTTTCGTGCTAATAAAGTGAAGCTCACATTGTTTCGGCAAACATTAAACATTTCTAACGACCCTTTCTAATGACCAGAGACAATCGCACCAAGAAATGTTTATAATGGTGCTTTAAAATGAAAACGTTACTAAAGATTAAAATCGAGTGAAACTAAAACAATTACTAGCATAATCAAATGTAACCAGAATATATAGAACTTTGTGTATATAATAAATATATGTGTAAAATCACTACACATTTGACAAAACCTGCATGTTGTTGTGTTATCGTGAATAACCCAGATATTCCAGTAGCAGCAAACACGAGCACACACATGAATATGTATTGGGTCTCATTAAAACGCCCGCTCCACTAATTCACACAGAGAAATTATCTTTAATTTAATTCAGTTACATATTTTTAATATACTGATATTTTAAAATTAGTAAATCATAAAAAATTTCGTTGAAAAAAATATTTTTTACACACGTTCTTGCAGTTAAAATCTATTTCAAATTCAAATGTATATATTTAATAAGAGATAATTCTTTGAGAAACACTTGTCATAGCTAAATTATTATTATTTGTTCATTGTTTTTGAACAATGATTTAAATAATTTGTTGTAAAGTTGCGACAGGGGTCACTAACGTTTATCAGAGATAACATATTAGTGTGTGACGAAGTATAGACATTACTCCGATACGGTCACGCCTTGCCCTACATACACTGTTGATGACCGCGGAGGTAACAATAGGTAACATAACAAAACTACATATAGTTGACTTCAGTACAATGTGTACAATTTTAAAACGATGTAGATAATCAATGTGCTTTAGCTTTAACACACTAATGAGGCGGTTAATGGTAAATATATTTACAGTCCACTTTTGACTATATCTATTTTAGACTGGGTCTGATATAACGAATTCTTAGTCTATGATTCCCTTGTTTAATATTTTAGTTTGATATTTGCTGGATATCTTGGAATTGCTAAATCTAATAACCCAAAAGGGTAAAGCAGTATAATATTATAGTTCACAAGTTGGCGGTAAAATTTTGTAAGGGATCTACTAGAAAAAGTATGGGAATCTCTGGTGTAGAACAATTGTTGATTTCAACACCGCCATTATCAGAATGTAACAAAAAGTAAATGAACCAGTTCACTAGAGAGCTGATCGATGCGACTCGCAAAGTTGCACAACAACACTAGGCAATACGCATTACACTGAAGCAACAATACTGCGCCTTGTGTGTACTGCTGTGATGTAATCTGCAATCCAACTAAATAGATCAAATCTCTGATATATAATCACAAAACAATTCATTGAGTTTTTCACGAAATCAAGATGCAACAACCTGGTTTATTGTTTCAACAAAATGTATCAATAAGAAACTTACCACATTTTTTGTTATTTAATTCTATGTTTGGATATTTAAAGGCGATGTTATAGAAAAGGGAACTTTGTTGGACATACTTATAAATGTAAAGTGTAGTTTAGCGCATGCAAATAAATAAGCGGTTGCATAAACAAAAGAAATGGAAACCGACGACATTCAACAGTGGACGATGTCGGAGCTGCACGGCATACGAGATGGTTACCTGATCACTTTCTAACACGAGCGCGGGTACAAGTGCACAGGTAGGTAATGTTACAACATAATATTGTTATTTATACTTTCTGGTATGTAATGACACTTGTTTGATGCCTTCTTTAACTTAAACTAGTGCTAGGTCTAGGTCGCACACATGTATTTTTACACTATGTTTATAGTTGCAACGCATTTCACATAAAAGTGGTTATGATTTAAGTAGGGAAATAAATAAATGAAGATATTTTATCATATGTTTATGTTTTTCTCTAAATAATGTACGATTTTAATTAGAATATTCTGAAATTTAATTAACTATGTTATGATATATTAAGAAATGTGATTATGATCACTTCCTATTAATATTGTGATTAGAAATACGCGAATCGATTGGTGTCATTACTTCTGGAGACACTGACCTCTTTACATGGACAGGCTATAAACCGTAGCATTTTGTGCGGACGCGATTATCGTCTTTTTTCTGGCTAATGGTAGTGGTGGTGAGAATTCGAAGTAATATTAGACGTTTAACTGTCAGAAACTTCAACAGGCGCGTTTGAGTCGGAACGGAGCAAATGCTGTCATTTCCAAGCAATGACTTATCCATTTATAGAAAACAGTATCGCTTATTGAGTCATAGGAACTTTAAAATTGATTGATGACTTGTATTTCTTTAACAGATCTCTATTTATTATAATAAGGCATGCACCACATCATGTGCTAGCCCTGACCTAGCCTGCCGCTGTACATATTATATGTTGTTCGCCTTGTTTATCCTATTTGACGGATGTGTTTGTATCCGCACATGGCACGTGGCCATCAGTTAACCGTCACGTAAGAGAATTAAATTCGCTTTCCACTAACTTTTGAATATCGAACTGCAAATTATTACCATTAGAACTATAGTTTTGCACGAATACACGTTTTTGACCTATTTGCACTGTAAGCGCGAAAAGTCAACGACGTAACTTTGTAACGGCGGACATAAAATGTTAATTATTGAAAATAAAACTGCACAGTTGTATATTTTTTCGATTAGGTATGTATCGTAACATTGACCATCAAACATCGTTATAATGTTGAGTCAAACTTTGCTTTTAAACACTAAGCGACCATTTACACGGTCGCTTTTTTGGCGCGTTAAAAAGCGTTCAAACAAACATACAGCAGCGCTTTTAAAACGCGAACGCTGCGCGAACGTAACCAGAGTTTTTAAAAGTGTTCGTCGCTCGGGAACCGCCAGCGCCGAGTTTTAACACGAACGTTTAATATTGATTTTACATATATACAATTCACGTTGGACTGTCTGTATGTGATGTGTGCACCCAGATAATAATTTTTGTCTCTGTCTGTCCGCGAGGCCGTATTTGTTCCGGGTAATCTCCAGAACGGCTGACCCATTTTGACGGGACTTTCACTGGAAGGTATACAGTGCATATTATTTTATTTTGCACTGACAAAGTTGCGGGCGACCGCTGTAGTAATTAATTTAGTTCAAATATATGATTCTAATCCATATCGACTCATTCACTTTGACGATGTTTTTAAGCAAGTCACCTAAGACCAAAGCTAAAACTAATAAATGTCAAAAAAATGTTAAATTGGCCCACCTTACAATTTAACGTCCAATAAAATAAATAACCACTAATCCGATATCCAAAAAGACTTTAATCGCATCGTAACACTGGCAACTATAAATTAAAATAAAAAAAAACAATAAAAAGCCGCGTAAAACAAATAGAAAGGTGTTGCTCACCGTTCAGCGTGTCCGTAGAAAGTGAAAACTTATGACATGCTCCGTGCACTGACACTCGCGAGCTTTGTATCCGCGGTATTGGCACCGAGGGAGACACCGCAATGGCCGAGGTGCTGCAGACAACTGGAGCCTGTACCGCGCTGGGGCTTCGCGCTGCACTGCCCGCCGCACGGTGCCGCACGCTGACGAGTGGGGTGTTCGGATGTTAGTGGTGAGACATCGTGTATCACAATAATATGTCTCATGTCAACTATTCTTATGGTTGATATAATAATAAACCATTATTGTAGCTTCAATCTTATTGGGATTTGGTAAATTCTTACTTATCATGTTTTATCAGTGTGTCATCTGGTAAGAGCTATCTCGCACTGACGAGTCGTATCGTATAGAGTAAAATCGTAGAGTAAAGTCTGTTAAATGGTATGTTATAGAGATTATATTTAAAATTACGAGCAATTTTTTTAATAATTTACTAATGTTTCTTGCAAATATTCCATCTAAGCTTTAGGCCGGTGCAGTCGAATGGCAGGATTCGAACTCGCAACCGTGTGATCGGAAATCCGTACCCTTAAGCATTGAGCTATTGGCGCTACGATGAATGCGAAGGGTATATAGTTACTTTAAATTCTTAAAAACTTCGTTACGTATGATAAATTATTGCATTATTAAGTATGAAACCAAATGACACAACGTTATAAGTATTTGTGTATAAATAGTTATCAAAAAAGTGTTTGTGAAGGAAATTTTTTGTCATTTTCAGAACTTTCGTAATTGTTTTTAATTACGTTGTTGTTGGCGTAGAGTAGGAGCAACTTTTAACTTTTAATAAGACAATTAAAGGAAATATAATATGTTCCACAATAGGTGGGAACAGTTGGTCTATGTAATGTGATGCGTAGCGCTTTCCATTCTAATTATGAAATAACATGCAAATGAAATGAAGGAGAAAGTGTGCAATGTTTTGACAAATATTCAAATCTTTATATTATATTATAACAGAGTTGCGATACATTTCTTTAGTTTACAGAAATTATGGCTATTTGTTTCATCATCAGCACACTATACGTCTCCTCTGAAGGGTCAGAGCCAACCCTAAGTTAGGGGTGACTAGGCAATTGTCAACCACGCTGGCACAGTGTGCGTTGACTTCACACTTATCTTTTAATTTCTTTTCAGATATGGGCAGCTTGGATCACGATGTTTTCCTTCCACGTAATAACGTCGGATAAAAGTATTTCAAAATCGGATAAGTTCGAATCCAGGACCTGTAAGTTAGTTATTACGTGCTTTAACCTCTGAGCCAGTGACGCTCTCGCTATTTGTTTAATCTTTATATTTCTTAGATTATGACTTTAACGGAGTTTACAAAAAAGAGGCGATGTCATATTTATGTACATAAACATATTTATATATTTATGTACATAAACATATTTATGTACGTTATTGTGGAAACGAAAAGCAAACACTTCATTTCAAACAATGACTAATCTTAGGACTTTGTTTTCCTTTCTTTGCTCTATTATTAGCGCAATGAGGTATTCTTTATTATAAGAAAAGGAAGTCAGCAAACAAGAACAAGTAGTTATTTGTTTTCCACATACATCTTTCTATTGTTTTGATAAACAATTAGAAAAATTCAAAGCATTTTACAATTCCAAGTCCTTCCTTCAGTGCATAATCATTTGCAGGTCCGTTGTATAATATTTCACTCGTAAGGTCCACGTTATTGTCCGCGTGTCCACTGTCGACGGCGATACGTCACATAACATTGGTGAAGTACCATGTTATCCAATGTGACCGCACCTCAAAACTTGAATGAAATTCAAGTTTCGAAAGAAATGGAGGACGGGTAAGATGGAACCGGATATTAGACATTGTGATGTGATTTTTATGTTTATTAACTAATATTTTTGTTTTCTACAATCTGTGTAAATCTCCCTAGTACTGTAGTTCCTAACAGAAACATACATTAACTTGTACACAGTCTTTTACTTAAATTTTTTTATTCTAGAAAAAACTAAATATTAAAAAAGCTTAGCTTTATCAAGAAGATTACTGCTTCATATTATTATAGTTAGTTTATATTTAAGTTACAATTTATGCGAGTGTTACTGTTCAAAGAAATGAGACATATAGTATTTTGTCGATTGGTAAAGTGTGTCAAGTAAAACTGATGGACGGAGGATTATGTATGAAATGACATTCGCCGCTGACACTTACGTAACAGACAGAGAAATGATATTCAAGTACAAAAACTTTTACTTTTAACAGCGGCATGGGAAAGAAACTTTGTTTATTATTTATTTCATGATTAAGAAATTAAAATATTAAAATATTAAGGTAATTTACGTCCTAACTGACTTACCTTATTGCCTTATTTATAATTCATACGTATACTAGTGGTCTTTATACTTTTAATATTTATAGTTCCGTTTTACGCAAAAATACATAATGTTTACGCTATATTTGAATAGTATTGATGAACTTTAAGATACACAAGTATAACTCGGTTGTAGTGAGGTGAAAGCGGATGATAACAGAGGAACGGAGCACCGGCCGCGAGCTGCGAGCTGACTCTACGCTCCACTTGCACTCTGCCTGGTGCACAACTCAACACTTTCTTTACTAAGATTAACAACTGATAAACGTTTGCCTTCATAAAGTACAAATAATATACTTTTTAAATATTAACTAAAGGGTTAATGGTCTTTCGTTTTAAACTGCACAAAGCACTTTTCGTGTTTTATTTTACTACACGAAATAAGTTCAAAGTAATATCAAAAGCTCGCAAACTTTAACTTAAGTAAAAAGCAGAGAAATTGTCGTCAAATTTGTATATGAATGAAATCTATACATTTATTTATACATCATCAACACAAATAAGAAATCAGTAATCATAGGAGTGCTTATGTAATACATTGCGACTTAGTTTTGATAGATATTTATTAATTAGAAAACATCTCCGACAAAAAAAGGTAATATAAACTGAATAAGTAATGTTCATGTTGTCAAATGAATTCACAATTGTTTCACTAAAATTCACTAAATGTTTTTCCTTAAAGAGGAAACAAGATTTGTTGTTTGTTTCAAAACGTTAGTTAAATATATTGTTTAGGTACGACTTTACTATTTATTGCAACATTGAAACAATGGCGCGCAAAATTGTTACAACATAAAGGCAGTTTCACACGACCGGCGCGGCCCAGCAGTGGGACAATAGGGCAAGGGACAACTTGTTACTGATATTAACACAACACGATCCTCGCTCACCTCTGACTGCTGAAACCAAAAGCAGCGAATTCTTTAACTGTACTTTCACGTTTTTATTTGTGTTGATCTGAATTAATGTTATATAGATTTTTTTTATTTTTATTAAAATTTAGAAAATAAGTAATGCCACATAAAAGAGTACTAATGTATACAAAGTAGTTTTTAATCAATTTCATATTTTGACCAACAAAAGAACGTTTAGATTGTTGCATTTAAGTGGTCGACTTTTTTCAGTGAGCATTCTTAAAACAGTGAATTATTCTTTAATTGTAGTGGTTTTATCGAGTAACGTTATATAAGGTGTAATGTGTTACACAGAGAGCTCGCGTGCCTCTGTGTCCGGAGTCCGGTTGTGCCGCGCTCAAAGTGCGTCCATGAAAACAGCGGGTTGTGTTCATTTAACCATTACTACCTAAGCAAATAAAACTTATGAAAGTACAAAGTATAAAATTTAAACATAATATGTATGTCATAAATATTATACCTAGGTATTTAGTTATATTCGGGTTTACCAAAACATTAACATCCATTTTAAAAAGATCGAAATCCGTTACATCCGTAAGCATATTTCTGTTGTCTTTAATTTGTGTTATGAGACGGTGTTAGATTGTTTTATTAGATAGTAACTCGCCGACTTCGTGGCTACACATGTTTTTCCCCATAGCATGTAAATAAAAAAAAATATCGAAAGTCTTTTCGTTTGTCACTTGTTACAATGCATTCAATCGAGGTGATGACCACAACACCCGACATGAGGCTCGTCATTACCTGCCTCGTCATCATCAGTGCGCGCTACTTGAAGATATCTCTTATAACAGCTGGCTAACGTTACTGATTACCTTTCTAGTTTTCTCATCTCGTTTATTTTGTTCTTTCGTACTTATTTGGATGATATGAACGGTTACGTAAGCTTTATTATTTGTCAGTTTTGTTAATTTAATTGGTTGTTGAAGATATTTTAAGCAATTAATATAATTACTCGTTTACAAGGCGGGTATGGTATCGTATGTAATGTCTTATTACGACCAATTAACTTTGTTTTCAATTTTTAATTGAATAATAACTCGAAAATGTTTTTAAATGTTTTATTGCTTACAAAATAGTTAAATTAAACATTGTATATGTTTTTGTTGAATCTTCATATGTTTATATGTTGGTGCTGAGCGCGGTGGTATGTGAGCAGCCAGTGCAGCAGGTCGGTGAGAGCACGAGGATCCTCGCAGCGCAGCTTGTGGCACTGCTTGGCTCGCCGCGCGATGCTCGCACTGACAACAATGAGGAGCACATTGCATCACACTGCATCTGTACTGCTACAGACAGGAATAATCGCAGCGATTTAGTTCCATACTCACTCGTAGTGTCTGTCAGAATGTATCTCGCAAAGCAAACGACGTTTGCAGTCCTCGCTGACGGCCGGGAGTGCCGGGAGTGCCGGGAGTGTCGGGAGGGCGGGGGACCGCCAGGACTCTCTCAGGTCGCGAGACGCACGTTTGAACTGTCTGATAACAAAACTTTTATTTGTTTAAAAGACAAAAGCAATATGATAGTAGTGTAAAAAAAGAGGACTGAACTGCCCCCAGGTTAAGTTTTTTATATTCTCGGCTAGACTACAGAGACATGTGTTGTAATGTGACAATGTACCGTGTGGTCAGCAAATAGAGATGCACTGCGAGTGTCGCAGAGAAAATACTGAGTTGCATTCAGTGCGCAATAAATCGCATTTCTATTTTGTACGATCTCGACAAACTTTTCTTATTCATATATATCGTGCCTTTATCGTTAATTATATATTACTAATTTCACTTTTATTTGATGTGTTTTCCTTCACGTTTATACATTACATCTGCTGATCCTACTTTTTTAAAGAACAACGATTGTTAATCATCATTAAAAGTTAAATAAGCTTAATACCATATCTTATTAGTTATTTTTACATAAATTTACGTCACTTTGAGAGCCGGAAACTGCCTATAATACTAAATTGATTTAATTATCTTAGATGTGAAACTTCGTCGTGGATCACGTGCTGTGGCGAGGTTTGTTTCTATACTCAATAATGTTATAACGCAGCAGCAAAATATGCAATGTTTTAGATGACAGGAAACGAATATTATAAGTTATCAAAGTCCGCGTGTTACGTTTTCATATAAAAGAGTCAAACGGTACAGTTGTAACATTTGCATGCACCGGAAGTTAGTGAGGAATGTCTCCCACTTTGTAGACTACCGATGCACGCGAACTGCACGAGTATGTAATGTCAAAATTTATACAACTACTTTTTATGTAAGTTGTATGTAAACTTGTAGAAACTTTTTAATCTTATATTACATATCAAAGTTAGCTATATAATGTTTGTGGTGACTAAAGCCTAATTTAATATAACAACAAACTTGTTCATTTGTTCAAACCAAATTCAAATCAAGTAACTATTTATCTGAGGCACAAACACTTGATATTCACTTCCTAATTAGAATCGAAGTCAAGCTGTAACTACACCGACGTGGGTAGGAAATAAACGTCCTCGACTATACGTGTGTTATTGTAAAGTATAAATATCTGACGTGTTGTTTGGATCCTCGATGGTGAGTATGGAGGGAGTGAGCGCGGACACGATGAGACCGACAGGAAGCAGCGCCCTCACCAACTGGAGAACACTCTGCCAGGGATTTGCTCTGAAATTTACAACAAGATAGAAACAACATTATTCTGTAATTTAGGCAATACGTTTCTAATCTCAACCGATTAGTTAAAACGCAAAGTCATAGGAAAGAGCGAACTATAGTGTAATTAAATAGAAAACATCTAAAATAAATACAAAGAAGTAATTACAAATAATAAAGGCTTAAAAGTAATATGTAAAATAGAAAGGCCTTGAATGGAGAATGACGAGTCAGATTCATTGCTAGATAAAGGAAGAAAGACGAATAATAATAGATATCTTTATACTACAACTTATAATTTGCTATTAGTTACAGTTTTCGCGACTCACTTTAGAAAACCTATTAAAAATATATTTTCTCTTTCACTTTACTAGTATATCAAACAAATCTTTACGTACCTTTTTTTGAGAGAATTGTCTTTAACATTGTCAATAGAATCCGGGGGATAATCATTGTCTTCATAGGAGTTTGGTTTCTCTCTTAAAACGTCGGGCAGTCTGTAAAGCCCCCCGGCGGGTATCCTGACGGGCGCTTCTATCGTCGGTTTTGACTGCAAGCTCTGTCCACCCCATACTGAAGAGCTGTCGACAGCTGAATATGTTTCGTATTTGTAAGGGAAAGCGACGTATCCCTTGTGCTGATTGTTGTGTGGCTTGAACTGATCTCTCGGAGACCTGCATATCAAAATGCTCAATTTATATTATTCCAGTTCAGTGAATCGAGTGCTGGATAAAACTGGAATAATGTAAATCCTGTCATCGTGGAATACATTTTGTGTTTGTTACATTAAAAAATTGAAACTAAATATGTCGGAATGTAGCGTGTAGTTAACAAAATCTAATTAAGTGCAGACTCAGCTCAGTAATTAAGTCTACCAGAAAATAATTATTTACTTTCTTACGAAATCTAATCTAAAATAATTGAAGTTTTTTGTTGAATTTCTAGTACATTCCTTTTATTCAACTATTTTACTTATTTTTATAATTGTTTCTAAATCAGACTTGAAAGTTAATTACGACATTTTTATAAATAACTTTTTAATAATTCTTGTGTTAGTCATGGATCCTTAAAAACAATTAAATTATTTCAGAGAAAGAAAGTAACATTAAGATATCATCAAAGTATCTGTTTTAATTATAAAAAAAACTCACCCGAAAAATGTAGGCGTTTCTAGTGTCGGTGCAGGAGTACTATGAGTATTAAAAGGAGAATCATCTAAAGTATCATAGTAAGAGTTTAGATGTGGACTCGGCTTAAACTCTTTCTTAAATTTTAGTTCATTTTCTTTGTACTTCTTAAGTACTTCCTTTCCATTCTCAGGATCTGTTTCATCTTCGTCCACATTGTTTTCTTTTGTAACCGTTGTTGAATATTTTGATTCTCTGTATTCATCTTTTACTTGCTTAATATGATTCGTATCTTTGCAATTCTTGGCGCTTAGTATTTCTTCGTCTTCATGTTTTGGGACAGCAAAGCTTGTGTTAATCTTCCAAGTCGTTCTATCTATTTTGCGATGCTTTTCGGATACTACATTTGTACGTTCTGTCGTATACTTTACAAATGTGTTCTTATCCACGGGGTACAGCGTTGTTGTGTTAAACTTAGCATCGGAATTTTCTTCTGCATTTTCGATAAATTGAATGCATTGCACGATAGTTATTATGAAAATTGTACAAATGAATGTCTAAAACAATAAACTTTTATTATAGAATTACTTCGCTTGAATTTGTTACATTATTTAATAATTTTTAGCTTTCTCATTCAGCTGTAGATAATTTTTTTATTCAAGAACTAAGGTTATTGTAATTGGATTTTTTTGAATGAAAAGCTGATTTCTAAATTAATTAGTAATAACCAAATGTAAGAATAAAAATTTACGTTGGTTATGGTGATTGTGTTGTGAAGTCTATTGACATCGAGAAAGTGTGAGTTAAGGGTTAGTTAGGGGCAGAGGTCAGAGGTTCGAAGCTCGCTCAATACCCAAAGCCATTACAACATAATTTAAACCGATACATTGTAGTAATCACATATAATTATGATAACATGTGAAAATTCCACTTCGTCATTAATATGATGAAAAAAACAATAATAACTAAAAAAAACAATAAATTTATTGAGCTAATTAACGCTTATTAACAGTAAGAAAAATATTGTTCTTTCGCAAAGATCAGATTAAATAATGACAATTTTGATTTTCATGTTCATAATTACTATAAATGAAACAATATTATTATTTCCTTCGAGAGTTAAACGGACAAACAATCGGAACTGGTTTACTCTTCTACTGATCTATTACTTTAGTATATGTGGTTTTCTAAATAAAGTAATAATAAAGTATGTACTATGTATGTCTGTCCATCTGGATTGCGTAGTCTAACATCTCCATGACCCAGTGCGTGGCACACGAGTGCGGAATTACAAGCGTGGTACAGTCGAGGACATTTATTTGCTACCCGTTTCAGTGAAAGTAAGGTTGAAAACTTGTCATAGCAATATGCTAAATTATAGTTCTCGTGATGACAGTTTGCTGCACGATGTTCCAAGTGGGAAGCGAATTTAATTCTTGGTCTGTACATGGCGATGTGGATGGCTATGGCTTGCGTAATTCCAGCACTTTCACCACTCGCCATGTCACTGACCCGCGCCCGCTCGACACCACAAGGCCGTCTGTTTATGGGGGCTACGGAATTGGCATAACCATTGAAAATTATGCAAAAACTTTCCTATTACACATGACACTTTGCTTTATTAGGAATCTATGACTTAATTTTTGCTTGAACATGTGCTGTGCTTTCATGGTATATTAGTAAAATTGCTTGATATACTAAAGAATTTTCAATCGTAAACTTAGACAGTTTTAAAAGCTAACTTTTTGAATATGTCTTTTTAAATTACGCGTTGTGCGTTTTTTATGAATGAGTAATGTGGTCTTGAGGCGGCAATGACGATACGTGTGTAAGGCCCTTGAAGCAGGTGCACTGCTATATAGAAAGTTTGGGTACAGACAGACAGACTGCTGTACCTCTCTACTGACTCGTGCAATCGCCCAACTAAGTAATACTAGTAAAAAGCTAGTGATGCCAGCTCATTTTATGCGTTAGACGTTTTTATTGTTATTTTATGTCTCAATAAACTAAAACAAATAAATTATCATTGAATATATAAAGAAAGAAGAGATTCAATAGAAATTAAAGCATTCTAAACGAAATTTATACAAAAATTGGACTATAAATAAGTAATGCAATAATATAAATGACAGCATGCAGAGTAAGGTACAGTAAATGAACTTACCAGTATGAAGTTGTGTTCCATGATGTCCCTGCAGCAGTAGAGAGCAACCGCTTCACCACTCTTATTTATAATATGTAACGTGTGCGGTTGTTCACAGCGCGACGTGACGTGACGTGACGCGACACTTCCCTATTGTTCGTGCTTTCTTAAATATTGTAGGTCTGACAGACTTGTGCCACAAACTGTACCTTGTCGATAAACTCACCAATAACCAAATGTTTATTATATAATTCTATGTCGTATTATTTCGCACGTAACTTTATTATAGAAATAAATGGTTACTTATAAAGTAAGCGTAGCTTTTCTACTTATAAATAAATAATTATAATGACTTCCGTTTCCTTAAATTAAGACGTGAGCTGTACCTGTACCTGTACCTGTACCTGTACCTGTACCTGTACCTGTACCTGTACCTGTACCTGTACCTGTACCTGTACCTGTACCTGTACCTGTACCTGTACCTGTACCTGTGTACCTGTACCTGTACCTGTACCTGTACCTGTACCTGTACCTGTACCTGTACCTGTACCTGTACCTGTACCTGTACCTGTACCTGTACCTGTACCTGTACCTGTACCTGTACCTGTACCTGTACCTGTGAGGTGTACTCGTGTAATTATCGTGAATCAATTAAAGTGAAATATCGTCTTAACTTTGAACAGATACATCGATACTAAAATCACGCAATTAAAAGTAGTTTATTTAGTTTTATTTATATTACACTTGTATATTAGATAACATCGTACGTGTATGTAATTCCGGGTGTTTTTCTGTTAGTCTATGTAGCTGTTAAAATGATGTATCTACTCATAAGAGAGTTTAAATACTTTGTGTTGTCAAGTGATGATTTTATCTTTAACCCTCTTTTAGCACTTTTAAAATATTTTTGGTTAACATTGTCGAACATACAGTTTCGATACGTTGTATCCCATCCTTAGTTAATCGTTGAATTTTCCAGTTGGACGCGTCGCCATGTCGCCGCGTATTGTCTCGCTGAGCGGACAACTGATTACTTACATCTTTGTATATCAACTCTTATGTCTTATGAACAACGCGTCATCATGTGCAAGGTGTTTGGAAATTGAAAAACTTAAAAAGGTTTGAATTTGCCTAATTTAATCAGCCTTTTAATATCAATACTAACTTAAACTTAAGCAATTACTGTCGCATCCATCTTTTAATCGTCGCTTAATTAGTGGATTTCTCATACTAAATCTACGCTAAGGTTCTCCCTTAACGACCTGAGTATGGATTTAACACAGTAAAGTTATAACAAACACCGATAGCCAGATAGTTGAAGTCAGACCGCGGCCTCGTATCCTTCATAGAGCAGCGTGTGAGGAAGGCGAGGCGCGCGCCTGCTCCTCATCAGCCGCCGCTCCACCTCGCTCCTCTCCTCCAGCATCAGCTCCACGCGCCGGCTCTCCACCACGCACGACGAGTAGTACAGTATCACTGAAAATCAAAACAAACACTATCAAATTATTTCACTTTTCAACAAATACGTTGCAATATTATCATTTTGTCTTCAATTATCACTTAACTTTTATTTGCTACACTTGTTAAATAAATAACTCACCAGCGTAAACAAAGTACACGGAAACCATTGTACTGATGTCGGTAGAGCTGCTCCCTTCTGCTGGCAGGGCCATCAGCACCGTGCCCAGCAGCGCCATGCCCACCAGCACCACACTCGACACCCATGATAACACCACCCACGGCCACAGACACTTTGCTTTTTGCTACGAACAAAGATAGAATAAACGGAATAAATGTAAAAGAGATAGACTAACAGCTCGGCTTAGTTAGCACCTAAAACAATGCCAGTTGAGTTTGAGTCACGAATTGTGACTTGGATTACCATTGTTTATAACGATTTTATTTATTTTGCTATCTCAAAATATATTTAAAGTTACATTACTTCCAAAGAATCCTTTTTTTAAACACAAAAAAATGTAAACTAATTTTTGCTATAATATTGCAGCAGGCGTTTTGTGTTCTTTCTTTCTATCGATACAAAGTGTATCTCTGTTTTATGTTGGAAATGAATCATATTTCCGCTTAAAATTAAATTTCACAAGCAGTAAATGATATCGACTTATAGTAAAGTTGTAAAACAATAACTGATACATATTATCTACAAACATTTTGTTAAGTGCGATAATTTAATTCAATGGAATGAAATATTTAAAAGTTCGTACTTATAATTTGATTTCCGAACTATTGCAATAAAATGTGTATTTCGTTGAGGAGCATAAGTTATCCACTTACCTTAAAAGCTCCATATGTCATAAGACAGGTGGGCAGCAGCGCGGCGGCGGCCGAGGCGCTCACCAGGCCGTAGAACAGGCGTCTCTGGGGCTCCAGATAGTCGAGTTGTGCAGACACCAGCCCGTACACCAGTGATATTAGTGTTGTTAACACCTGCAAACACCTTTATTATAAGCTGTGTTAGTGCTGCAACATATCTAAATATGTAATAAACGATAATGTAATTTATCACTTGTCATACATTTCTATGACCCATACTTAAAGAATGTGTCATTGTCATCATACAATATGATCCTCTGTGAATATAAAGATGTCGTTAAGTCTCTTTCTTTTTTTGGAAATACGCGGTACAAGCTGTTAATCAAAGAATATCCTCGATGTTTAAAGATGCGGAGTACACGAAATATTAGATTAAGAATTTTTACATTTCATCGAAATAACATTTAATAATCCGGCTAAATATTTCTGCAGTACTATTAAAATTAAACTTTATCAGCTTGAGGAGGAGCTTGTTATTGAGAAACATTTTATTGATACGTAGAATCGAGTCATTTTGTTTCATATTGTGAAAAGCCGGTACTTCCCCGGGATATAGCACGGGCATGGCACTAGCATTTTTCCCAATACAATTCCTTCTAATATGAAGTATTTTTTATGGAGCGACGCAACTTTGTTGGATTAAAATAGATCGACAGTGCTTTTAAAAATATTCACAATAAAATATTATAAAAAAGCAACAATAACTTTATCGATGTTTTTGAATTGTCAATATGACTATAATTGTTGCAATTTCTTAATCTTTATCTTTTATATTAATTTCACATTGTTTATAAGATATTGCGAAATTGGTACTTACCATGTGCACCACACCCAGTATCTTAGTTCCCAGTTCCAAACTGACACAACAACAACAAACTTCCATCGGCAAACACATCGTTACTGCTTTCATAAGATTTACACCATGTTGGTTGCACTGATCAAAGTTGAGTTAACCAGTCTACTGCTGGAGTGACCACAACTTTGTAATGAAGTGCTCCGGCGCCGACAGAAGGCGTTACTGTGCTCGATACTGTGTGATAAGTGATAACACAAGCACCGTGATGTAATTAAGGAATGTATACTATCCGTTTAACAGGAAATTCCTAATCTCTTCAAAAATATCTTTAATCTTATAAATTGTAATTGAATAAATTGATAACATCAACACGTCAGTCAAAACGCCTTTTTCCGTTTGTAAAATAAATATAATGGAACTATATACACATTTATACTAACAATTCTGTTTATCTGTGTTTGCAACTACATTTCCTAACATTGTTAACTTTTCCCGCGTTATTCTCTATTTATTTTCTCTTATAGTTTTCTATAAATTAAAAGGCAAAGGTCTTAGTGGCCATTATGCCACCTATTTGGCAGAACGCAAACTTCTTGTCTTCCAAAGAGATAGAATAAATAATTCTTCACTTAACAGTAATTCAATTTATTTGTGATATTCGTTACAGATAAGTTATAGATTATAGTATCGAATTGTATCGACGACAGTTTATCTATTTTTTTAATTATCATTATAAAGTATGATCTTAATCAGACGGAACTAACAATTTAGAATAGTCGCTGGAGTCCAATTAGTTTTTTTTTTATTTTTACGTATTAGATAACAAACTACTGTTATCACGGAACTAAGGTTATGCTAAATGGAACGTCTAGAAGTGGCAATGACATCACACCAAAAATTATATGCCATTCGGAATAAGAATTGGTCATTAAATTAAAAAGATTATAGAGAAGCACTCCTAGAGTGACTATTATTAAAATTATTTCAAGGGCTTCCAATTCGAGTTACGTATAATTGCTTGAATTAGCACTGACATTGTAAAGAACAGTGATAAAAATATTGCAAATGAAGTCATCAAAACACGTAATAAATTATTGTTTATCTTAAGGTAGATTGTGTTGATAACAATATTAGCTTCGTCCACTCAGTCGAGGTACGCGTGTTTTGTTGAGCGTACGTACGACACGGCGAACTAATCTCCGTCTGACTTCATAGTGCACAAATAGACGCATGTGTTTATATTGTACAGTTACTTGTGGCACAACATGGGAGTTCCCATGGTTAATAAGTGTTGCTATTGTGTCAGTCTACACAAGGGAACGCTAATCATTGCCTACGCGTATACAGTAAGTATTATCTTTATCAGAATATCTCGATGGCTCGTTGCATTGTTAAACAATTTTTGTTTAAATTATCTTAATAAAAACTAATTGAATACATACAGAATACAGAGAAAGCATATTGATATGATTGTCCTGATGATTAAGTACAGTTTAGAGTTAATTTGTCCGTCAAATGTTTTCTTAGATATGTTTTTCTTAGTCCCCAAGTGAGAGGAAAATCTGCACAATGCATAATTAAACAAATTATTGATAGTGACGATACGAATATTGTTATTAATTATGTATATACAAATACGTTCTAGAAACAATTATGCGAGAGGACAATCCAATTAAAATAATAATAGTTAAAAGTATTAGGTCTTGGTAATCGCTATACTATTTAAAAGTAACAAAATTCTATCCACAGTGTTAACAAGTGTGTATAATTTACACTGCCAAATAATTGTAAAATGTTTCGCTTGACGTAAATATTAAAATTAGAAATGGTTAAACAGTTATTTCACCGGTCGAAACATTAATAGTAACCGGGTTTCCACTATCGTGACATTAATATATATTTTTGTCTCTGTTTTGTCAATGAGTATATAAGGGATGACAATATGCATACTTCTAGAGTAATGGGGTATGTCATCAGTAAACAAATGATATGAGCATTCTTTCTAACTTTGACAGTCCAGACTCTATTATAAGATACAAACTTTACGGCAGCTCTACTGCGGATAAAAGAAAGCGCGCGATGAGGTGTACCCAGCTCCTGCATGCCGGCGTCCCGAAAATTGTAATATCCTTAGTCAGATATGTCTTGTGTAACATTACGAGCCGTTGTAAATTTTGAATAGTACTGTACTATTTTGCCGATAGTAGTAAGTAACGAAGCGAGCGTGCCTATTGCCTACTCTCGTGTTTACTAAACAAATATAAACCGTGACGTCACGGCCTTGGCACTCAGTTTAATCTTTACAGCCGCTTCATTGTAACTGTTGCCTTATCTTTATCACTAATGTTTTATTCGGGTTCTAGTTGAGATATATTCAGGAGGGCAAACATGAAAAGACGTTTAGTCATAATTTATAATTTTTTTATACTCCTCGACTTTTAAAAAGTTAGTAATGCAACATCTTCATAGTTGTCGATGCTTTCAGTTTTGCCTCCATTATTAAATTAGCATTTATTTGTGGCCAGGTATGGGCGCTTCTGGAGCTGACAGCGTATTGTTTGCTGGTGACGCTTGCACCTCTGGGCCGCGAGGGCGCCATCTCCGCAAACAAACACGCTCTCTACGTCACTGCGGCGGCAGTCAGCGGGGTGCACCTGCTATGCTCTTTGCTGCTCATTATAGCAGCATATAAGGTTCATATTTTACCTATTCACCTCGTTTTAGTGAGTCTGTGTACACTAAGAAACTTATTTCTTATTTTCTAAAGGAAATTATTGCATTACTTTCCAGAAGTTGGCGTCGCTCACATTACCGTGGACGATAGTGACAGGCATCCTCACTGCGATTTTCTTCGTGATGTGTCTGACGGGCATCAGTCTCATCCTTCAGGACTCCGGAGAGATGCTGGGCGTTGAGGCCGTCGTCATCTTCGTGCATCTCATGAGAGCTTGTGAGTACAACAATGTTCAAACGAAAAGACTTCAAGGAGAAAATTGAAAGCCTAGAAATACTCCTGATACATTGGAAGTAGCCTCCTAAAAAAATAGTAGAAGTGAACATGACATTCGTTACCAAAGTCTGTACATAATTTTATTTCAAACGTAAAGTACAGGTGAAGATTTTTAATTTCTGTTTTAGTATATTTATATATGTATATTGCAGGTGTGTCAGTGTACTGCATAGTGATAGTGCACAGCCGGCACAAGCAGATCATGTACGAGGAGGACGAGCAGAGGTTCCAGCACTCGGCGCGCCTCTACAAGGCGGTGCGCACCTCAGAACCTGCTGCGTGAAGCGCTGGAGATGTTCTACACGCTACTTGAATGTGGGCGCAAATAGCAATGCAAAGAATGAATACTCACAGTATGGAATGCGTTCAAACTAAATAGCTAAACTGATTTGTTTCATCAGACTAGCGAAGTGTCCAAAGTCTAGAAGTTATAAATCTGGCGACAAAAAAATTAAATTTATATTAAAAATGCTTTAGTCGTATGTCATATTTTATAGTTTTAATAAATATGTAGATAGATAATTATTATAGATATATAATTTTAAAATTATCTTATTGTAATAGCTCAGCATCTTGTAATACCAATTAGTGAATTTGATTAAATGGTTACAAATATTGAAATTATGTTGGGCTGTGGTTAATTTTAAATCTCATTATGCCTGAAACGATTGTTATTTATGAATGTATTTGTTATTTAATTACTATAACAAATAAACGTATTATAAGAATATCTTGTTTTATTGATACTTACAAAAAATGTGTTTTACTGACTCCTCTTAGTCCCCCATAAACATTCATATATCATTATATTATATTTTTTACTATTCTCATTTATTAGTTTGATATATAAAAAAGATACAGTTTTTTTAGTATTTAATAGAAAGATTTAACATGTTGTCAGTTAAAAGGGTAAAACGGAACGTAGTTATTGATTTTTACGTCAACGGATGACGTCAATAGATGTAAAACTGGAATTTGGTTGCGCACTTTTGCGTTTAAGCTCTTTTTCTTTAAGAAACAATAAATAACTTGTTGGGTTTGTTTGTTGAGTGATTAAATTTTTTAAATCAATAAAAGTTCGATTTGAATTCTTTTTACAGGTAGGTTAATATCTTTATTTGCCGTTAATAGATCTGAAACATATTTAGAGTTAATACATATTTAAAAAAATCAAGTATAGTAATAAAATACAAACGCAACCTTGAATGAGACATTTTTATTCGTACCAATGTAAATTAATAATTCACATTGTGTCTGACTACAAGAGTTTAAAAGCAGACAAACATGTATGTATTTGAACTTGAATGTGTCTATTTTTTTTTTCCTAGTTTCTCTTCCCATGGCATTAATTTACAAATAGATTAAGAGTTATCTAATTAAACTATATTTTAAACTATCATGATATCTTGGTCCATGAGGTTGGGCAGAATTATGCATGCAACAAATCCATATTTTTACCTATCTGTTGCCTTTTTCAACCAGGAATTTCCTGCTATTTTTATAATGTCGTCTGACCATTGGACTTTGGGTCGTCCTCTCATTCTCTTAACTTTTCCTAGACCAGACCATAGGGTTGCCTTATTTTTCATCTAGAGTGCGCATAATTTTCCCGTTCATTTCCACTTAGACATTGTGCTCAGCATCCTGCGACTATTATTTTTGTTTTTTGTCTGATCATTTGACTTTTGTGTTTATTAGTCTAATGCCTAGGATGCTTCTCGCCATTGCTCTTTGGCCAAATTATGAAAATTATATATTGTTTAAATAAATAAGATATTTGAAATGAAATTATAATTAGCTAGGATATTCTTTTTATTTTGTATAACGAAGCGTTTAACTATGATCCAATCAGATGGCAAATGATGATGTGATGGAAAGAACTTTGTTAAATTTAAGAAAAAAGTCTATTGTGTTTAAGGTTTCTTTGTATTACAAATGGCTACCTGGTAAACCTTAGCTAACCAATCAATATATTGTTTTCAAATGTTGAGTGATGTTATGTAGATAGGACATTACAATAATTTATTACAGTTTGTTGTTATTGTGGACAGGGTGAGGCCGTGCCCTTGACTGCCCACTAGGTTTTACACTAGCCCCGCCTGCCACTGAGTGGTATAAAACATAAGAATTTTAAATTTATCCTATATTTTATTGAAATGAAAATATTTTAACTAACCCAAATGAAAAGAGTAATATCTCTTCTCTTGTAAGATAGTTATGGTGTAACTTTTGTCCAATGACTTGGTTTGTTAATTCCAATACAACAGTTTCATTTGTATTGAGATAACTGGTGATAACATCTGAGGCTGATAAGAGATAAGTAACATAAAATACTATATTGTCTTGAATTACTTTCTTTTTGTTTGTTTCTTGTTGTTATTCCATTATGGCCTGTCTCGGCAATTTAGAATTGAAAGACACTTTTTCGGAATTTGCTAGATGTTTTTCCAAATTTATATGTGTCAACTAAGGTTATGTAAAACTTTAAAATAAAAAAAAGTTAATGTCTGTTTCCAGAGGTAGGGAGCCAGTGAGAGGTGCAGCATGGGTCTGCCGCACATCACCAAGTTCTGCTGGTGCATGAGCCTCGAGCTCGGCTCCAAGGTCATCGGATATGTACATCTGGTTAGTACGATTTAGCTAAAATCATCCTATTATAATATCTTTCCAGAACATTTAATATTATTTCTTCATATTTGTGTGTGCACTCTGTTGAACTAATAAGACCACACAGTAGAATTTTGTTTCACATATAAGCAGCATTTCTTAAGACTTTTTAAAATCTCTCTATCTTCCCTCTAAGATATGCTGTACAATAGTAATGAAATGGCGGGGTTGGAACCCAGGAGCGTACGTATTTGCGGTGGAAGGTCAGCTTATTGATTATGCATTGTGGCGCAGATGTTCGCAGTGGCGAGCGTGACATTGGGCGCGGCCACATCGGGCAGCGCGTGGGGGCAGGTCACCTTGGAGTGGGAGACCGAGGGGGAAACCGTGTACGCGCAGCTGGCCACCGCCTCGCTCGCCGTCGCCTGCTTCGGTCTGGTGCACGTGGGGCTCGCGATCACGCTCATATACGCCGCGCACAAGGTCGCCATTCACTCTCATCATATTCGACAGCCGGTACCGAGGTCGCGAGGTGCTCAACAACATTGTGTGTCGTTTAGCGCAAGACGACGGTGGTGCGCCTGTGGGCGTGGTTTATGTGCGCGCTGTGGATCGCCGGCTTGATCTACGTGCTGGTGTCCTCCTTCGCCACGCGCTCGCTCGGCTCCGGCTCCGACATCTTCCTCGCCTTCCTCGAGGGCGTCGTGTTCTTCGGTCAGTGCTGCCCCGTTGCCTCCGCCCCCGCCTCCGCCCCCGTCCCGGCGGCGCGTGTCATGTTGTATGTTGCGTGTTGCAGGCACGTTGGCGTACTGCATCCTGTGCGTGCACAGCTACTACCTGGTGCTGCGCTCCGGCGCCGACATGCAGGGACCCTCCAAGCTGGACTACTAGCCGCGCCCCGCAACCCCCCGCCGACCCCCCGCCGGTAACACCTTACTTAATAAATGTAGGTCGTTCTTCTGTAGTGACTCCTCGCAGCCTTACCGCCTCACAGCAGCCCACACCAGATGTTGGTAGCGCGGCCACTCCGCGCTCTCCTCGCTCTCCTCGCTCTCCTCGCCTCGTCTGCCAACATTGAGGAGGCACGACAAGATGACATGCATGAACCCACCCATAATACTTATTGATGTAATTCCTGAACTTGGACTCAGTAGATGATTGATGTTGTAATAAAATTGCAGAAATTGCATTATTATGATAAGAAAAGTAATTGTATATTCATTTTGTTAAGCTTTGTTTGTTATGTACTTAACTACAATGACTTGTTGATAAGTTACAGAACAATTCTGTACATGTCAATATCTCTTATATGTTATATAATTTTGAAGTTATGTAGAACAGAAGTAGAATCTCTGAAGTTGCGGTTACGATTTTGATCTGAATCAACTAAATTTCTATTTTATTTATACAAAAATGGAAATACTTAAATTATATAATAACAAAAATTCTAAAGTCTTATGAATGTACTTTTGCCAAATATTTTGCATTTATTGTGCTTTTTTTTTAAATTTTACTCGACAGCAAATTTATTGTGTTTTTGTACGCTTAATGCGATGTTGTTTCAATACAATACGTTTCAAATAAGAATTTTTTAAATATAGAAAAAATATGACTACTAATATTTTTTTTAAATGTTTATTTATATTTTTTTACTCGGAGATGCCAAAAAAATATGTTTCAAAAGACTTAAACTGTCCGTACGTTTTTTTAGATTTGACATCTATGACGTCACAAGATGGCGTGTGTTATGACACATTTTTATTTTGAACGCATTGTATTCGTTGTTGTAGATGTTTCTAGATAATTAAGTGTTTACGATAAGGAACTAGATTTAAGTTTATTATTGCTCGACAACTTTTGTATTCCTGCCTTTTTAAACGCCTAAGTTATTTTTTCACAACAATTCCGACTTGTTATTTTAAGATGAGATTCAGTATTTATTTATTATATTATTCTAAAGGTCTAAGCAAAAAATAAAACTACTACTTTTTTCTATTTAGATTTTGGAAAATGTTTACTTTATATACACCCAGTGAAAATATTTCGAATATCTGTTTAAATATTTATATTTATTTGAACAATATAACTTTGTTGAAGATTTTCTTATTTTAGTGGCATGATATTAAGAAAAGTGTGCCATAATTTACCATACAAAGTTGACAAAACCATGAAATATATATTTACAGCTAGAGAGGTGTATTGTTACAAGAGGCCACGCCACTATTTACACAAATGTTTGCAGTTCTCGATTTATTCTGAATGTTGCCATATTTTATAAATTGTTTAGAAATGATTCCATTATGTATATCTACAAATATTATGAATAAATGTTTACATTGCTTTAGTATTTTATTACATTTTGTCCCCAAGCTTTCCCACTTTAGTGTATCCTTAATAAATTGCTTGTCAGATATCAGAGTGTTCTGTGGTACGTTCAGGGATCTGTATAATATTAATAGCCTATTGTTTTTTTTGCTTGGAATGATAAGTTTGCTTCTTTCCGATTTGAAAGCTCTATTATTCCTATTAATGTTACATGACAGCTTATTGTATCTCAATTATTAGTTCCAATCTAAGCCACAGCTACAAACCGCAACCAGCGCCAAAATGGCGAAAATCAAATAGGCACCATTTGTAGAGGTCAGCGGGTATAGTAGTTCTGGATGCAGCAGTTAGTAATATGATTTATAGTCTAGCTATTACATTTAAGGAGGACGGAAAGGTAAGTAAAAAGATAGATTAGATTTTTACAATTTGTTTTATTCATCGAAATGCTTCTTTGTTTTTTCTGAAATATCGTTTAATTCAATAAATATATTACAGATCAATAGATTAAGTACGGCATCGCTTATCCATTTACTATACACTTACGTTCAGGTCAAAACTACAATATACACTCTAATGTCAGAGCAAAACATCACAAAACTCTGCAGCTGCTAATAACTTAATCTCGTTTACATATCGACAAATGAAAGCTAAATGTGAAAATGTTTTGTTTCTTCAGTATTTTTCATGCAGAATATTAATGATAGTTTTTTTTCGATTATTGTTATTTCTATATATAACACAACACAGCCAAGATTATTTCAAGAAAATATCGATGAATTATTATTAGGCCAAAGATTAAAAAACGAAATAATAATTTCATTTATTAAAATACATTTTGATTATTTCTTTTCAACTCTTTAAAAGAGATCAAGTCTTTTGGAATGCTTTCGATGTATTTATTCGTTCAAAGATTACTTTTTGCACAAAAAGTTACGAACAATAATCATGTGTGGTAGAGCTAATTTAAACCTTTATACTACTGAAATTTTAGGTACAGTCAGCGTCATATAGATCGTCACAGACAAGATATGCAAATATATAGGTACACCAAAAGTAATCAATTATATCGGTACAACAAAAGTCCTCAAAATAATAGATACATTCACCCTGCTCAAATACATCGGTACATACACAGCGTCAAATATATGAGTACATGCAAGATGCTCATAAATATCGTAACAGCCACAGCGTCATAAGTAACGAAGCAGTCAAGGTGCGCAAAAATATCGGTACATTTGACAAAATTGAACTCTATCTCTATATATTTGTGATACAATTTGGAATAAACTACTTCTGTTAAATTCATTTGACACTTTGTATTAACATTATAGGTTGTCCGGAAAGTTCGTTCTGATTTTCGATATAAAGCTTACAATAGACTGTAGCTGAAGTGGATTCATTTTCGGATTTCCACCATCATCAAACGTCACAAAAATTTCTATATTGTAAATAATTTCATTTCATTGGTTGAGATAAAAACTAATTTTTAAAATTTTAGCCAAAAATAAAAGACGTTTTAGGTATAGAGTCGTACCAATATAATTTAAAAACATTTCCAAAAATTTAAGAGAACAGGGTTTCAATTTTCCTTATAAAGCGGCACGAACTTACTGGGCAACCCAATATTTTTCTTCTCCTGTCATAACGCTTAAATATAAAAGTTTGTCACGCCAAATATGACAGATACGTATTAACTAATATCAAATTTTGCCTTGTCACAATATATATAATACTAGTTTGGCGCAGTATTCTAGTATGTTTGCCGTAATATGTAAGTTTACCGGTTCGAATCTCAGGCCACTTTTTTTTATTTTATCAATCACGGGGTTATTTTTTCATAACCAGTAAAAATTTGGTAATGTAAAATTTTGCTCGACATTTTTTTTTATAATTTTCGCTGTCGGGTAGAAAGAAATTTAAATAAAGTTAACAACAATTAGGTCAGACCATCGCGGGTGAAGTGAGTGGGCGGAGCGTGGATTGTCTTTGCGGGTTTTAAGAATAGTACGCGCGGAAACTATACGTACAAGTGTTATCTACATATGTGTGCGCGCCCACGCACACTGGAATGTTTATTGCAATCGACCAAAAATTTGATGTAGTTTGGATATTGACATTCAGTTTTTTTTCTTTGTTTCTTAAATATAATCAGTATCAGTAAAAGGTAAAAGTAAAAGTGTTATTTTTACCGATACAAGTTTAACAAACATGAGTAATAAACAAATTACATGCCAATAGCATCGCTTTATCTCCTTCATTTTTGTTTGAAATAGAAAAGTACTTTAACTCATTAGTCCAAGGCAATATCAAAAAGTACCTAATAACTACGGTGATAGAGTTTATTTACATGTGCTTCGATATTAAAATTAAAAAGTTTAAATATAAAAAAAAAATAGTGGCTTGGGATTTGAACTGCCGACCTTACGTACCAACGGCGGCGAACGGTAAGGCCACGAGACCAAACTAGCATATATGATGACAAACTTAAATTTGATGTTGGTTTTATCTACCTAATATCTGTCATCCGCGTCGAACACTTTTAGTAAATTTTGAAAAATGGTTTGATGCAAAGTGTCAAATGAATGTAACAGAAGTAGTTTATTCCAAATTGTATCACAAGTATATAGAGATAGAGTTCAATTTTGTCAAATGTACCGATATTTTTGCGCACCTTGACTGCTTCGTTACTTATGACGCTATGGCTGTTACGATATTTATGAGCATCTTGCATGTACTCATATATTTGACGCTGTGTATGTACCGATGTATTTGAGCAGGGTGAATGTATCTATTATTTTGAGTACTTTTGTTGTACCGATATAATTGATTACTTTTGATGTACCTATATATTTGCATATCTTGTCTGTTACGATCTATATGACGCTGACTGTACGTATTAATAACTTTGCCTGCAATAATTTTAGGACTACTTCTCTGCAACACTTTTGTTTTTTTAATTCAAAATGTTTTTATTTGAAGCTAAAAATTGTATCGTCTATCCCTTAGTGGCAAACAAACAGAAGCTGCATTTTTGTTGTAGTTAAATTAATTGCTTAATTTGCTATTTTCACTACTGCCTTATTAGAATAGTCACATTGCACCTAATATTAGAATTTTACATAAAAATGTACAAATTGTTCAATTCGTCGACAGCCACCGGATAATTTACAAGACGAGACAAGATGACAATTTCTTTGATTGCCAAAACCATGCTTATACAATACTACATATTTAGTACCGATTTCACTACACTAGTTACATTTACAAGTCAATAGTGACGTAGACTTACAGCTAGTCAACGAGGCCACAAAGTAAACAACGCTACAACGCGCGACAATCGGTAATCAGATGCTATGAATCAGGATCTTCTAACATGTCAAAAAGCAATATAAGTGATTTACATATAGGTACTATATATTAATTGTAGAACAATAATAGCCGTAAATTACTAAAATGATTTAGTAAAATTAGGCCGCGAATAATTTTAGTCTGGTAGCGACTTCATGCACGCCGCAAGCATGCAAGCGAACTGTCATAGTGTGAACATAGCAATAGATATAACGGCAGGTTGTTTACTCTGTGGCGCACTGTAGCTAGGTGCGACTGAACTTTGTACATCTCTGACACAACTGCCTAAACGCATAAATACTTAACTAAACGTATTGCACGACGAGTGAAATGCACGCGGCGGCGCTGCGCTGCGGCCGCCGCGTACACTAACATACTTATAAATTAGGCGACACAAACATTTTCTCTTCAGTTTTATGAAATATATAGATTTACACTTTATTATAAGTTCGTTTACAGCAAATCTTTTAGATAACAAGATATTGCTATTTAATTAATCACTTTATTAACCGCTACTTAACGCACGCACAAATAAACCTGCACACCGAAGTAATAGAAGTTTGACTTCTTGTTGTCTTCCGAACCAACAGCTTTAAGTACAAATAGAGAATAAGTACATTCAGATCACGTTTTATCGAAAGGAAGTTTATCAATGAAATAGAAAGTACTAGATTGTACGGACAACACAACGTTTGCATTCCTGCCACCCCGAAATGATGACGTCGATGTTGCCAACGATAACGAATAATGATGTCGTTTCTAGTTCCCGCTTTAGTGCGGCATGGTGTGTGAGGGGTGTGCGGGGTGCGCGGCGGGCGGTCAATAGAGGCGCGCGGGAGGAGGCGGCTCCGTGCCCACGTCGATGTCCAGCGGACCCTCGTCCTCGCTGCCGGCGCCCGCGCACGCACCCCCCAGCGTGCCCCCCATCGCAACACTCATAGCCCCGGCACCCGCACCCGCCATGGCAGCCGCGCCCGCTCGCTGCAAGCCTCGCACCTGAATAGGAAATACTCACGTCAAAAACTGGCTCATAAGTAGTGAAATGCACAGCTCTCGATGACACCTTTTAGCAACAATGATTTGTAATCAGACGTTATATGATGTATGATCATATTTCAACCGCAATTTCAATTTAAGTAAAGGATTGTTAGTCAACATATAATAATACCAAGACGGTGGGTAAATAATATAATTTTACAGCGACTATATCTAAGATAAAGCTCGAGGAAACAACATTGTTAACACTGCCCAGAGTTAATAACATTTTATAAAATAATTTACACATAACTGCCCATACTTCAGAATATATTATTGAGGAGGAGAATCGTTTAATCCCGATACAAAGAAAGCGTTGTAAGCGCGACACCACAACCTCCGTGTTACACAACAGTCGTCAGTCAGTAAGAGTGTACCTGGAGCCGCCAGTCCTCGTGAAGCCGCCGGCTGTGCTGCTCCAGGACCTTGAACTGAAAGATGGAACGGTGGGTCTGGTGATAGCCCACGAGAGGACATGGGGACGCAGAACTTGACCGTGACACCACATGTTAAGCGGCGATGAGGTCGAAAGATTGTACGGATTCATTTAGGTAAGTGTTCCATAATAATAGGAATTTTTTTCAAACATATGCAAAAGTACACGGTCTTTAAATACACATGTACACTTTTAACATAAATGTACAATTTACATAATATATATCAACCTCAAAGGGATGGAGACTAGTCGTGTCATGCAACTACACGCATGCCTTGCATATTTCCATTGCAACAATATGAATTAAATATAGGTGTTACAATAAGGTTGCGAATGTTTGATAGATGTGCATTAATATGTGGACGTAAGCTGACCTGCAGCAGGAGATTGTTGGAGAGCAGCCGCGCCTGGTGTTCCTGCGCCTTAGCGCGCAAGCAGGCGATGCTGTTATTGCGGAATGCCTCGTGGTCCTCGTAGGGCTCCCGGCCCGGCTCGGGGGATGCGCGCCCCTTGGCCGAAGACGACGCGGTCGTGCTGCTGCCGCCCGGAGAGCTTTGCGCCTGGAAATGTCCAAGAAAACGCTCGTTAAAATAGTTCTTCAGAGTTGGAAGGATTAACTGTAATAAATTATACTGTTTTACGTAATTGACGTGTTGGTATTGTTACCTGGTGGTCTTGTAGGTCGGGGCGGTCTGCGCGGTCGGGGCGGTGCGGCGAAGCAGACAGCGGGCGCTCGCCCTCCGCCTCGGAGCCCTCGCGCTCCGACCCCGACTCCTTTAGGTGCTGCGCCGCCTCCAGCGATTTGCGGTGCATGCCTGGACACAACACAAACAAAACATAAACGAAATTACAAAGACATAACTGTAGAATGCATTCAGTGACAAAATTGCTAAGGAGGGGCATAAATATCATTATTGGGATGAAAATTTGTGTATTGGAAGAAACTTATACCTCGTAGAACGTTGTTACGTCAGTAATGATCACATGAATCTTAAAAAGATGCCGAAGGCCATGGCCAGGAGGTCGGTCTCATATATCATCTCGCTTTCCGATTTTCACGGCAAGATTTTATTTACATATAGTTAACAACGCGTAACAAAGTTACTAAAGTCCAGTTGTTACGAATAAGTATAAGTAAATAGTAGAGATATCTGTTGCTTGTTTTTCCTCGACTTCTATGGCATAAGTCATTAATATTGTAGTGGTACATAAAGGTAGTTGATTTAGCTCTCGTCCCCTGACACCAATAAATCGTGTAGTGTGTGCGACTGCAGCGTCCAACCGCGTCACATCGCGCACCACCACACCATACTCAACGTTACTTCATTATTTATAAACTTGATTCCGCCGCGATATCTTGGCACATGGAATATATGTAGGCTTGACAATAACCATATATACTTTTATTAAAACATTACTTGTCATCCAAGACTCCGACTGCACGCAATAAAAAATTATAAGTAGCCTATGTGTTCTTCCAGACTGTGTTTTATGTATATCCGTTGAGGCTAACCGGAGACATCTTTTACAAAATCATCTATCCATGTAAACTTTCATATTTATATTATATATATACTATATACTACAGAACATACAGTTTTTGTCCGAAAACAAACGAAAAATATTAAATAAGTTTAAACGACTAGTCCATTATTATGTATTTATTGTTGCCTCATACATAACACTTAAATTATAAATGGACATTATTTAACATTGACGTGCGCTCGAACCTTCAAATAAAAGAATATTCTGACGAACAGTAGATGTAAGTGTAGTAAGGAAAAGTAAGGAGAGATCCTTATCGTGTGGTGGAGGAGTTGCATAATGAAGATGTTGTCATCGGCGAGAAAGTAACCGAAGGAGTTGTAATTTATTGTCGTCGGTGGATCGGAATAGAGTGTTGTGAGCAGGGAGTGCATTGCCGGCACAAGCATCGACACTTGTGTGCGTCGCGCTCGCGTCACAATTAATAATACATAATGTCTTAAATACGGAATTGCAGAAAACTATTCAAAATATCAATTAAAACAGAGTTGGTTTCTGAAACTAAAATATCTGCATAAAATATATTATCATCCAGGGATGACGTGTCATTATTGTAGATTTTGGTTTCGTAATGTTTTCAACAATTCAAATGTAAACGTATTTAAGACTCCAAATTATGACAAATTAAGAACCTAAAATAACTGCCTAAATAAAGCAAATATACAAAAGTGGCGAAAACCGAAGCGTAGTCAGTAATTTAGTTATCTTTCTTTATACGCGTATTATTGTCTAAATAATATTAAGATTTGACAAGTTTCTGGACTTATTGTTTCTTATTTTAATTTAACAAAATAGTCAACGATCATCTCTATCTAGTCTATACGTCAATGACATTCAAGAAAATTTTGTAACAAAGTTATATACTATATTAATATCAGTACAAATTTTGTTTTTCATGTCATATTTTATGCAGACAGAGGGCGGGTGTGGGGTGTGGGGTGAGGGGGAGGGGGAGGGAGAACTTTAATATCCCTTCGAGTTGTATTTTTACGAGATTTTTATAGTCCTCGCGCTGTGCGCACTGCATGCCTAATCACAGCGACTGCTCTGTGACGCGGGATTGACACGTACATCACAACATCTAAATAAGGAATGTGAATATTGTATTATGTAAGAAATTAGAAAACCAAATGATCCTAACTTAATTGTAAATTTATTACAGTGAAATTAGTGGTGATTGCCTGCATGTACGCAGGATAACAAACGACGTCTGTGCGGTGTGGGATCGCGGGGGGTGAGGGGTCATCAGCCCAGGATCTAATGTGCAGATTTGTCTGGACACCGCACTCGCCTAACTTTATACATTAGCGGGCTGTAAGGGGGGCGTTGATTTACTGACCGGAGGGGGGGGTGTATATGTTACATTTGATTAATTAATATAAGATATAAAAGGTTACCCTTTCACTGAATAAACGTAAGTTTCCTCATTTAAGTTGTAAAACCGTAAGCAGGTAAAATAATATGTTCTCCGTATCATCGACATCATTGGAATGACGCATTCAGTGTTGGAGTTAGCTAAAGTTTTACACCGCGCTAACGTGTACAATTTTCTTCATTGATTTTGTCGTTTAATACGAGTTAGAATAAGTCAGCATATCAAGTATTACTAAGTGCGCTAGAAGTTTGGTATTGCTACCCTTATCTTTGGAGCAACTTTATTCACATTTGAAACATTGATTCTTTCATATTAAGCATTAAGAATCTTCAGTTCCATTATTCTCTCGCTACAAAACTACGACGATGTTAGACACAATAACCACAGTATATCTCGCGGAAGTGGACAAAAGACAAAGGGAACTAGTATGCTCTTTGGCGATTCCTTTTCCGCGACCGCCGAATGCGTCAACAAAGAGTCACTTTGCTCATCAATGTATGCGAGTGTCATCAAGTCGTATTAATTGCTGTGGGCTTTGTCTGCGCGGCAGAGGCTGGTAGTGGGCGCTGCGCTCTCCCATACGGTAATTTCTGGCTGGCGACAATGCCGCGCTACGTCACTCGGCGTCACTCGCGAGATGAAAGCGCCGAGCACAAAGCGAGTGCGTAATAGGCAGATAATTCAGTAAGATGCCCTCGTGGTGCATTACATTCCATTTGGTGTGGCTTTGATGTGGCCGGCGGTGGCGCGTGTTGCCAGGCGCCGCCGGGACACTCCACGCTCGAGTGTCAAACGTCTAAAAGGAAGCACTTTATTGCAGAATTAAAGAACTTAATGTAGTGGCGATGAGATGAGAGAGGAGAGCGCGGTGGTGCACACAGGTGTGATCGTGTGTGGTGCGTCACAGCTCCTCGTCTAACTAACGCTGACTTCTGCCATTGTCACCACACGAGAGTAGCACCTTATAAGATGCCATGAAAATGAAGTTCTGGTTTTGTTATAATATGTATTTTAATTTAGAAACCTAAATAACGGTATTGCTAAGCGGAATAACTATAATTTCAAAACAGAATAATAAATTCAATAAATATAACCACCTTCTCATGCAAGACGAAACAAATTCAATTTAGTTTTTGAGGCTTGATTTTCGATTTACGATTACATTTTAAGAAATGTAAATCTTTGTTTAAAACTTATACACGTGATTTAAATCGATGCCTTTTACTTTTTATCTTCAAATTGCCAATATTATGTTGAATTTGCAAAATTATTTAAATATTAAAATAAACTTTAAAATACTACTGTATAAATAAGAAGTACATCTATATAAAAATGCAATTGCTACTAAAGTACGAAAGTTTTCTCATATTTTACACCAAACAAAATCATGTATATATATGATCTAGCGAGTATCTAGTACTGCCATTATTATAGTATTGTAAAAACTACGGACATGCGTTCAGACTGCTACTCAAATGTTTAAACGGCGCTACGTACATCATTTTTAAAATGTGGTTTATAAGAAAATATCAAGTATGTGTCAGACAGACATATCAAACATTATTTTTATATTCGGCCATCGGAATTATTTTTTAAATTAAATTTCAGAGTAAAAAATAATCTTCAGAATTTTTGTGAAAAAAGTACAAAAGCGAATACCAATACTTGCAGTATTTGTATTATAATATAGTAGGTAGTCAATGAGCATTGATATGACACCAAAAACGTAACTTTCATTAATTTCATACTGTGAAATTTACGGTTAAGTAACACAAAAAAATAATTTTGGTTACTCCTTGAATTTTTTTATTGCACTGCTGGTCACTTCAAATACAGGTAACCGCTTACTCATTTGCCAACTTGAGTATAGTAAATAACAGAAAAATTGATTCACTGCCAGTCGCGCTGCACCCCACCCGAAGGCCGCAGGTTGTATGTACATAGTGCGGGCCGTGGCGGGCAAGCCTGCAGGCTGGAGGGCAGACAGGGTAGGGCGGGCGATGCAAGCCGCGCGTCGTATGTACGCGGAGGTGAAAAAAGAGCCGCTTGCCGCACGCGGACCTCAGTACATAATTAATATGTACGCGCAGGCAGCCCTTTAAATCTCCGTTAATCAAGGCTTAGACAATGCGCCGCCATCTTGCCGGGCCCGCCCGCTGCCTTCCGCCCCCCTCTCCTCGCACCAACGCCTGTACCCCTCGCCCCGCCGCCCCGCCGCCCCGCCGCGCGCAGCCTTCTAGGGAAACTTTAGGCTGTATTCAGCGCTGCGTCCCGCCCGCGGCAAAGCATGTTTGCCTTACTTAATTAGATTGTATGTCATAATCCATTACATACATGACGTGTTGTAATTATTTTATTTCATTAAAATTAATTCATTTTTTACTTTTTGACAAACAGAAGTAATACATTTATCTTTTTTTATTTAATTAGACGAATTATATAAGTCACAGGTTTTTGATTTTTTTGACTTATCAAGAGTTCCCTTGACTAAATTTTATTCGACATTTAATAGTGAGGTAATTAATTGATTAAATAATCATAATTACTATAAACAACAGGAACACGAATGACAATATTTTACGTACGTAATTGGACGTGTATTGCTAACAAAGAGATTGATACAATATGTAGTTATAGAGATACAAGAGAAGCTCTTCCTTCAAACAGTTCATAGTTCGTTCTCAAATCATAAAACAACAGGCAAAGTAAATAAAATATTTTAACATGTCACCGCACGAGAACATGAAGTGTGTACTGCAGTTACAATTAATGGGAAAACGGCGAGAAAACGAACTGAAACAATGTCATAACAGACGACATAAAAGCCTCTACACACAACCCGCAGACAAATGCAAGCCTTGAGCAAGCCAAGTCTACCCGCATGTCTTATGCCCCCGTGATACAGTCGTGTTTCCTCACGCCGGGGCGATGGAGCTGCAAGACTTGTGAAAAATGAACATCTCTCTTGTTGGGATTAAAAATTACACATGGCTTTGTTTGTAGACGCCGCACCGCCTCCCCCGCCGCCTCGCCGCCCCGCCAATCCCCTACTAAACCAATGGTCCTCCAAAACGCTCGCACACTTCTAAACAATGCACTTTGTTTAGTTTAAAGCGATCCATTTTTCTCAATGCGGTTATCGTGTGTTGAGCTAGAGTGACACTTGCCAATGACAAACTGCCTCCAAGTGTTGCTTAGCGAGTTACACATAACGGTATATTAACAAGAGACGAATTCTTTTACAAATAAACATTATATAGAGATACTTTTGTTACAGCTATGTCTAAGTAATCAATGATTTTATCTTGTCATAAATAACTTCTTTCAACAGTTTAACACAAGAAACTGGGTACATTAATTATAAATTGAAACAAATCTACTGAAGCTTTGTTTTAACAACGCAATTTTTAACGCCTATAACTTTGGGTTGCTGCTTCTCTTCTTCCAAAAAAGATTTGTGAACAAAGTATTTTTAAACA